GCATATTAAAAAATACAGGGTGTTCATTTGATTCAAATTTCTCATTTTTACTTTAATTAAAAAATAAATTCAAAACCCAGATTAACCGAATTTCCGCATTTTTCAACAGGCGTAGTTCAGACGCCTTGTTGTCCCCTCCAGGACCCCTCACAATCCAACATGGCGGCGGCCGTACGGGTGTACTGTGCCCTCCGCGTCACAGTCGGAGGTGAATAACTTTTCTTTCTCTTCTTCCTCAGCTTCGTTAAACCCGCACTGTGTTTTTATCGCAGTCTTTGTACTGTGTTTGTGTTTCTGTTGAAGTGGTTGTTACCTGGTTTGGTTTAAAACTGACCCGGGAGCTGCCTGACGGTGCTGCAGTGATGTACGTGAACAAACACGCCTGGAAAATAACTTCAGTTTATTTCAATACACTCCGAAATAATTTAAATACAATTAATAATAACATCTGGTGCTGGTGTAATAATTACATTCATGCATTTGGATGTTCGAACCTGTTTGTTGTGGTGGTGGCCTTGACAGGATGGAATGCACTCCACCAACCAAACTCTGTTCAAAATTCTTTCAATTTAAAGTCATCCTGCTTCTTAGTCATTGTAGAAACCTCTGAGAAAATAACTTGAGACTATTTACACAATGTTTCAGTGCGTGCTTTAATTCGGCGTGATTAAAACATAAATATTCCCAAGTGGAATATTTTTTTTTGTAATATCTCAAGTTTAAACAACCACTGTTTCCACCTCTGTGGTGTATTACTTGGAATCAAATTGTGGATAACAGGGGATCAAAGGATATCCTGTGGGACTGTCTTATAAAAACAGATTTAAAAGACTTTTGCCGAAGCAGGATAGCGATTCCAAGTTCATGATGTTGTGCCGCTCGTCCCAAGTGGTGCATGAAATTAAAATGCAGATTTACCAGCTCCACTCAGGTTGTTGGACCCTGGAGAATTTTCTCGTCTCTTGTATCTTTTGGGACAGACTTAGAACAGAGTTAGAACAGAGCGGATAAGTATTGTGGTAGTAAAGCTTTTGCATTAAAGAGCAACATGAGTTTTTGTTCCCAAAGAAACAGTGATATACAAACCACTTCATATAAATAACAGTGATGAGCATTAGAGCTGCAAACCACAAGACATCATCATGTCCAGTATCCATCCATAATATATATATATATACACATATTGTTCTCCTCTACGTCTTCTATCTCAGGTGTAGCACCACTCCGCACCATCGTGGGAGCCGCTCAAGTGTCCCAGCTGGCGAGTCGAGCCTCAGCTGCGTCTCTCCAAAGACACTCGGCACTTCCCCCTGCGACAGCGTGGCAGCAAACCAGACATGGCAGCTTCTTCAACAAGTGTAAGTTTGAGAAAAGATTATTTCTGAAATCTCTTCTTCTTCATGTTGGAGCAACGACATCAAAATATGTGTGGAACAGCTCAAATGAGCCACTGTCCTTTTACCATAATACAGATTTTATGGTTTTGAATCAAATGATTCATGGTTGTTTATTGTTTGTTGCTTCAAGCTGCAGTTGCTACACAATGCTTGTAGTATTTTTACTTGAATGGCGTTTGTGTGATGTGGTTGATGAATGTATTGATGAAATATTTTAACATTTTATATTGAAATCTTTTTCCAAGAACACAAACATTTTCACCTTCACCACGTTTTTTTTAATGTGTTGGTGTTTTAATGGTTTGTGGCTTTCTGTAGAGTTTCGGTTGGTTTTATTTTATCGCCCAGTTTTTTCACTGCGTGTTCAGATGGGTCTTAATCTGCGTAAATACTGCAGGTCCTAAACTAGCCCTGGCGTACAATATATCTACTTTAGGTGCCAGGTCTTTGCAAACTCGAAGAGGTTTTTATATTGTCATAACAGTCCCTGGGCGATCACATTTGTCATTAGTCAGGCATCTTTATTTCTAGTTGTTACAGCCCACCATACGTCCTCAGTGCAGCTTGTTTTAGTAGTGGGACAACTAGGTTCAGTTTTCTAAGTGAAACTGCAGATTCAAGATTTAGTTTTAAAAGGATTTGAAATGCACAGAGAGCGAGCGAATGGGGATAAATATTCAGTAGCAGTGGTGGAGCTGAACCTGCTGCTGTGAAGGTGAAGCGAGTGAGAAAACTCTCACTCCCTCAAAAAGTGTTGAAACTGAACATCCTGTTATAAACCTGCTGTTTTTTCAGTCAGTGAAGGAAGAAAAATGTTTCAAAATCAGTAGTTAAAGCAAATGTTTGGAGATTTGTATTGATTATTTTACAGTGTAGAGCTACTGTGATTGTGATGTTGGTCTCAGCTGAAGAAATTTCGCTGGAAATAAAAATATTTTTGTTTTATTTCATTAGCTGTGTTCTGAATGGTGCCATAATCATAGTTATCATTTATATGATTTTTTTCGGTTAGTATTGTCATCATTAATTAGATTATATATTTTCTTGATCAGTCTGTCTAAATAATAAAAAATATAATTAAATGATATACATTTTTTTATTGTATGTGTTTGTTCACCATGTGTGTGATGTGTTTGTTTTCTCAGTGACAGCTGAGGAGCTGTGGAGAGGTGTTCTTGCGGAGACAGGTGCCGGAGCCAGGAAGGGCCGAGGAAAAAGAACCAAACGCAAAATGAAAAAAGACCTGAACCGAGGACAGATGGTTGGAGAAGGTGAGACATCATCTGTCGGCATCTCCCTCTGTGTCTCTCTTTATTTAAGTCGTTTAGCTTTTTTCTGTCTTTCCAAATATTAAAATTTGATTGTTTGATATTTTCTTTGTGTTAAAATTTGTTTTTCTTTCCTGTGAAGTTTTCTGGTGTTCACAGGTCGTCAAAAGTGTCTGTCTGATTCTAATGAGCAGCTGATGGACTCAGAACACTAGAATATTCATTAGTCAGAGCTGATTAATTTATTACTCGCTCTACCAGGGAGAGGAATTACCCTCGTTTTTTCTATCTGTCCCCTTTTCTCTCCTTTGAGTTGCTTTATTCACTTTTCTTTTAAGAGGAACCATCAGTCTTCATTCTGCCTCGGTCTCTGTGTCGCAGTCTTTCAGTCCCTCCTGTCTTCTCTGCATTCACTTAACTGTCTCTCATGTATTGCTCTTATACATCCACACTCGTCTGACTGTGGTGTAATGTTTTATTCACTCAAGGTTTTTAGGACTATAACTGAAGCTTTTAGCAGAAGAAACTGAGATTGCGAGACTCAGATGGAGTAAAGATATTAACCACTTCCGGACAGCAAGTTTTACAATTGTCATTTAAGACTGAAGCAAATACGAACATCAGTGGTATTTATGTACTAGATGGGAGGTATGTCATCATATACAAATATGCTGTTGATACAGAGTTCATGTGGCATTGTGTAAGTTTTTGTCTTTACCTTTCTCTCAATTTTCCTTTTTCTCTTCTCTGTCTTAATGTTCAGGTCAAGGAGGTTTTCTGTGGCCTGGTCTAAACACTCCTGTGGTGAAGGATGGCGTTCTGCAGAGCATGAGTCGAAGAGGCGAGGCTGAGCAGCAGGAGGTGCGGGCTGAATTAGGTACAGAAACCGAATGCACACACACACACACACACTAAAGCTGCTTTCAGACATGCACTTAAGTCTGGACATTGGCCTGCAATTTTGTGGAGGGCCAGAGAATGCAAACTCATTTTACAATCTCTGGAAAATTCACAGCAAGCGAGAAGGCCTGTTGAAGATCATCAAACATGACAAACGTGGAAGAACACAAATATCTCAGGATGAAAAAGAGGAGTCATACATGAGGTCGCTGAGGAAGATGTCGATAAACACATGTTGATTTGCTGTAAGCAAAAACAAATGTGATATCCGCAGTGGAATTTTAACGTCATGTTCTACCCCTTTAACTCAAAGTTAGCAGACATTTTCCTGAGTTCTTCTCCCAAAATGAACATGATAAATAAAAAAACTGTATTTTTATCCATAAACCAGAATCTGGGAGCTTTAAAAAAACACAAAGAGCGACTGTTTAAAGAGTCGCCAAGAAGAAACGTGAATGAGAAATGTGGACCAGCAGAACTGTGTGAGATAGAAGTCGTCTCCATGTGATCTCATTTGTTAACAGTTAATCTGACAATGATAGATAGCACTGTGGAGGTTCATCATGTTGTGCTGCTTGAAGTCAGCTCTGGGCTCTGGTGCTAAATGTGCCGCTCATGTCTGTCCTGCAGTGCGTCAGAGGGACGAATGGGACAAGAAGAGGAAGATGAAGGTGAAGAGGGAGAGAGGATGGACGGGAAATTCATGGGGCGGCATCAGCCTGGGCCCCCCTGACCCTGGACCCAATGGAGGTAAACCCCACACACACACAACGAAAATATTTCTTTATAAAAACCTAGAAAAAAAACAATAATTAAATAAAAATTATAGTAAACAATATTTTTATAACACCATCTCCATGACACAAACACACAAACAGAGTGCTAAGGATGGGAAGACCCGATGATGAAGGGTGGAGCTGCTGTGTGTGGCCCATTAGAACAGATGAAGACGATTACTCCAGAGTTTCAAGTGGGACAATGTCCTAATTAACAAATACATCTTGCTCTTTCTCTCTTCCTGCTTTTCATTCTCTCTGTTTGTTATTCTCTCTCCAGCTTTTCATTCAATCCCCCTTTTCTCCTCTCCTCCCTCTCAGTCCCCTTTCTGTTTTTTGTTATTCTTGTTTCCCCCTTCTTCCTTCTTGCCATTTCCATATTTAAGTATACATGTACACCTCGTGTTATGTTTCTAGTGTGAACACTGGAACCTAAAACCTTGACTGGTTTCATTTTATGACTTCTGGTTTTCACTGGAGACATTCTGAGTGTTGCATGAAAATCTAAATGCATTGTCAGAGGGTTTCCATCAATAATACAGGGCAGTATATACAGAAATATAGATGAACAGAGTAGTTAATATAAATCTATCAGGGTTTTTACTTGGAGTTTGGGCTGAAGTCTGAATGTTATATTGTGTTGTAAATATCTCTGAAGTCCATAAAGGTGCGTCTCCTGTCTAATGAACTCTGAGGAACTCTGCTGCTTTAATTCCTGCTGATCCACTGTGAGCCTCCTGCTCCCAACCTTAATACATGTTTAAACTTCAGCTCTCAGAGTTGAGTTCAGCCTGTTGACAGATGAGGGACGAGCGTCTGTCACAGAGCACGTCCCCTCGTCTCTCTCTCTCCTTCTTTTTGAATTCAGTCTGTTATTCGCTTCCTCAGTTTCCTTTTCCTCTTGATGTCTCCTCGCTCCTGTCCTCGCACTAATACGCTCTCGCTCACAGTGTGAAATACACTCGCTCTCTCCCTCCTACACGTTCAAACACTTTCCTTCACACACACTGTCTGTCACTCACAGACACACAAACACAGGGCCCGGTAAATGTGATGCGCAGAGAGTTGTAACTAGGTTGGTTGTCTCTGATCAGGTTTAGTTTCTTACAGATGGTTGGTCCCTGGTTTCTGTCTCTGTGTGTCTGTCTTTGTGTGTGTCGTCTCCTCTGAGCCTTTGAGTCAGCCCTCCTTTGTTTGTTGTTAATTGGTTAGAGGTGAACAGGCTGCTGTTGAGAGAGAGAAACATCCCTTAGAGGTCACTGACAATGAAAAGTGTCAACTCTTTACTCTACTGCAAGGGCTTCTGGGTATTGTTACGCCAGCAAGAGCCTGGCTTAATCTGTTCATGGCAGCTGTGATAGTGTTTGTGTTCGTGTGTGTGTGTGTGTGTGCTCAAACCTTCTCTCCTTTCTTCTCTCTGCAGAAACCTATGAGGACTTTGATTCACGTGTCATCGAGGTGAGTGTTTCTCTTCTCATGAGCAACATTAGCTGCTTTCAAACAATCCAGACGTTTCCCTGAAACTGGGGCTGCATGTGAGAAAGAAAATCAGAAGGAATATTTTATTGATATGCTATTGAAAGTAGTTTTTTTTAGTTTTTTTCAGTTTGATTTCTGGGAATAATCCAGCCGCCCCAATCCCAGCTCTTAATTCTCTTCAACCTCTGCTTTAGAGTAAAAGTCTCACTTAGACCTGGTATATCACAGCTTTTATTTATGCATATGTAACTTTTAAAATACAAAACAAAACCTTGTCACTAAGTTTTGATAGACTAAATTACGAAAAATGAATTACTTTCAACTGCTGCTGTTTTATCGCACATTGTTCCCCTTCAATCCTACAACACCCCCCTCTCCTGGTTGTAAACCAACACGGTGGGAAGTGGAACCGATGACATCTTGTAAATCCAACGCGGTTTGACAGTAGTGGGATAAAGAAATGAAAATAAGGTTTTTTACAGGCTGCATATACAGATATTTGACTGCTGTTGTGTGCATAGCTTCCCTCAGCCTCTACTTTCCACCTGTTTATCTTCCCCTCCTTGTCATAGTCGTCGTAGCCGCTGTGAGCACTGGGTGAAATCTTGTTATTCAGAAAAAAACTGAAATCACTGCTGCGCTGACAGTAAAACTTTGTGATCGGGTTTCACTGCTGTTCTCTTTTGCTACATCACACTGTACAGAACAATTCTGCTGAAAGCCTCGGAGGAAGAAAGTGTTTTCAAGGAAATCAAAATGGTGAAACGTCCAGTGGGGCGTGTGCACATTGATGGGGATGCAGGCAAATTTGCTGAGCAAGGGTTGCTGCAGTTGAGCATTAAATTTCAGATGTTGTAGTGTCCCCTGAGGCCAAACAGTGTCATTTCTATAAGGTCAGAGTTGTGCAAGTGTTTGACACAAAGGAAAATTAAAAGTTCATCATGGTTCGTTCATTTTATCCACGGCAGTTTAGAAACTCCAGTCTTGTGTGTGTGTACATGTGCATGCATGTGTGTGTATTCTCTCTTTGTCTTTGCAATGGTGTATTTTACCTTAATTTAATTATCACTAATGGACCCCACTAAACTAATGCCACAAGGACACACACACACACACACTTGTACATTTGTCTTTGTTAGGACACTCATTGACATAATGGGTTCCCTAGCTCCTTACCTTAACCATTCAGCAACATTTTGTTGTTTGACCATTATTATCACTCACTTCTAACCTGAACTCTTAAACCAAGACGCCAGCAAGAAGTTTCAACAGTGGCAACACTTGTTTAGGAGAAACTTAGTTACTTCGCTCGGGCATAAGGACAAACGGCAGCTTTTTCCTCTTTGTTAAGAGGCACATCATCGCAACCTCCTCCTCTGTCAGATGCTCTCCCCTCGGTGCTGCCCTCAGGTGGATTTATTGCTTAACAACCATATCGGTGTAAAGCATGCATGTGTTGGTTACGTTGTTTGTAACAGACATGTCTCTTTGCAGCATAAACAAGCCTTTAACCCTCAGACCGTTCTCTGTGCTTCTGAGGAGGAAACAAAATGTCCTCACTTTCCACAAATGCCTCAAAAAACCCTTCACAACGATGATTAAAAGCAGATTTGGTCCTCACAACCTTATAAAGACATGTACTCACACACATGCACATGATCCATCAAAGTATGAGCTTTCTATAGATCTATACGGTACAATTCTGATATTAATGTAGCGTACACAAATTTGTGTTTTCTTCTTTTCTAAATGTTTTTGATTTAATGCGTGTGTGCACTCTTTGGCTCTGTACATCCTTTACTCTCTTTATTTCTATTTGCTTACTCCATACACACACAGTATCAGATAGTGTGTGTCTGTGTGTGTGTGTGTTTTATCAGGGTGTGTAGCTATGTGTGTGTGTGGCACTATAAATTCAGGCCTAATGAAATGAGAAAGGCTTACTGGAATAAAAAGTCTTGTCTCCCAAGGACGATGATGCCGACATGCCATTAGAGAACACATCCAGCAGGAGGCGAGGGAGGGAGGGAGCGAGGGTGGCGGAGCTGAGGAGGGGTTGTTGAGAGAGGGGGGAGGACACGATGTGAGAGCTAAGAAGTCAGGTAGTGAGAATGCAGTAAATGTTTTGCTGTAGGGAAATTAATAATTCAATACATTTACATCATTAGAAGTAAAATCTCATTATTAAGTTAGTTATTGAATCTTTACATTAAAGTATATGTTTGTGTGTAGTTGTTGTGGTTTGTTTGCTGTGATAGGACGAGTTGCTTCAATTTAAATCTCAAATAATGAAGCAGAAAATCAGTATTTTCTTCAGAGCACTGGGCAGCACCAGACAGAGGGACAACAAAGCTGAAGACTAGCTTCTGAACGTTTGGGAGCATTAAGCATCTAAAGAGCCAGATAAGAATCAGAAGTTAACAACCAATCACCTTTCAGAAACGTATCCAGAGGAAGTAGCGGATCTGAGAATTTATATTCACGTTCTTTACCAAAAGGCTGAGCCCCCCCCCCGCCCCCTGTAATGTTACTGAGATCCATTGGTAGAGGCCAGAAATATAACTCCAAATAAATGCTAATGTTTCTCCATATCTACTGAAGTTGTAATAACAACCTGTGAACATGTTAGACACAAGCTTGCCCTGCCCCCGAGAGAAATATCAAATGACGAACATTCATCCGATACATTAACTTCTACAAACCACAGATGAAAAATTTCTCATCAAGACAAACCACTCATCTCTGGCACAGTCTCAGCGTGACGTGCGGTCAGTTAGCGAGATGAAGAAGAGAGTGAAGGATGACGAAGAGCAGAGGTAACAGCCGAGAAGAGAATGAGAGGGGAGTCCGGGCGACAGAGAGAAAAGTGATGTTCATGGCCTCTCTCCAGCTACAGCAGCCACTTGGACAGGACTGGGTGATTTCATTAACAGAGATGGACCGCCGTCGCTGTCAGAACAGGGGTTTTGTCTTCTTTTCTTTTTTTTTTTGTAGTCTCACCCCCGCCTCCTCTCTGAGCTCAACAACCTTGAAAAGTTTTGCTAAAAGTAAGTGGACAACAAGAGCAGCTCTGAAAGAACATTCAATTTGATTAGATGTCTTGTTTTAATAACCAAGTGGAGCTTGAGCGGGGACATGTGCCCAATTTTGTATCTGAAGGGAAATTCCCATCTCCTGTCTCTTTAAGCCCCCCACCCCCTCCCAATAAAGCCCACTCTTCTCTGATTGGCCAGTTGGCCCACTCTGTGACGTCATAATGACCCCGAAGTATCGGCTGGACGACTGAAGAGGTCCTGCAGCCTTCGGGCTTCTGAACCTCAACATTCACAAAAACTATTCCACACTCGTGTTAACATAAACAACACGTGTAGCTGAGGGTATATTATAACTGCTGAGAACAGAATTCAACATATATGAGCTGTAATCAAGTAAAACAAATGTAATTTACGTCATCAGATATTCATGTGTAATGATTCTACAAATTTTTTAAAGTTTAGCAGGAGCAAAAAAACGTTTTCCACTATTCAGTGTGTTCACAGGGTCAAGATATCAACTTCAAACCCGAGTGAAAGAACTGATGGGGAGTCGTGTAACAGCCAGTCAGAGGAGTGTTTAGCGTTGGCAGAGGTTTGTGCTCTCGCAGCGCCTTATGTCTCCATGTGGTGAAAACTCCTCCTCTGCGCTGCAGTGTATAGAACTGACGGGAAGACCAGCAGCAACAGATTGAGGAAAATAAGAGATGAAACAGAAGTGAGCGCGAGATCGAAGCGTCCTCCCACCGCCGTGCTGTCGCTCATCCGGCGGAGGGAAACCTGGCCCATCTGCTCCGCTGCTAACGCGACGCTGAAACTGCTGCATCTTCACCTAAAATGAGGAACGTAAAGCCAAGAGCTTCACATCCCTTGAGACTGTAACACACACTTCTAATAGAAACTGGCTTCACAGACTGCGTTTGTGATCCCATCTGTTCAGGATCTTTGCAGAGACAAACTAGAACTGCTCTGAGTTCTCAACAGTCCCCTCAGATCAGGTACCAGCTCCTAAATCTTAAACCTTTTGTCTGGATCCAAACCTAAAATGTTCTTTTCCTAAAACATAACCTCGGCTGGGGCGCAAGACGAACCCGACCTGCATTCTGTTTTTCTGTGTCCGAGTTAGTGTGAGAAATGTGCAGTGCACCAACGTGACCTGATTATATAACATTTTCGTCCGAACCTGGCGCACCTGACGGGCCCCGACTTCACGGGCCCACAGCCACAGAACTTTATGTTGTGTGTTTAAATATTTTGCATTTACTAATTATTATGTGCTCTTCATTAACAATGTTTTGTGAATTTACAGTAAAAAAAAAAAAAAAGGGTTTTGTATGTGAACATATCAGAACATAGTAGAAACATCACGCGTGCGTGCATGTGTGTGTGTACGCCCCCTGTTTTGAGTGTTGTGGTGTGTGCAGCTACCCTGACCCCAATCCTACTGCAGTGTCCCTGCAGTTAAATTATAAACCCTTTACAGAAATGTGTGTTACGTAACTGCACAGGCTGAAGGCAGATCTAAGACTTTGAAGTTCCCGCAGTGGAAACTCGGCGCCGCTCTGTCACTCACACTCACTGGTGACGATGAAAGTAAAGTGACGGTGGTGAACTGCTGGTGGTGCCAGTATAACATTCCCTCATGGAGACACCGCTGAGTTAGCACTAGCTCTATTTCTGGGGTGTTGTGATCTCTTTGTTGACGAGGGGAGCTGTAATAAATGTTTCGTGGTTTCAGAGTTTTTTATTTTTTGTCACAAACAAAGATGTGTGTGTTCTGGTTTAAGCCTCTGAGGAGAGTTCCTGTGCCGGGGATCGGTGGCTGCTGCCTGCAGAGCTGAACGTGGCTGTTATGACAGTCTGAAGCTGTGCAGCTGGAAATTGTCTGTGTGAGAGTTTCTCTGAACAGTTAGAGATGATGAAAGTTATTTTTTCTGCCTCTGATCTTTTTTTGTTTTAGTTTCTTCTAGTTGTATCGTCGAAATGTGAAAATTGATGCGTCCGTGTTTAACACAGGAGACTTTTATGAACCGGTTTTTAATCTCAATGTATTTTTTTCCACACATTCATCATCGATTCAGTTTCTCTCTCACAGTTTCTCTTAGTTATTCTCCATCAGTTTGTCTTCATCTCTTCAGTTTCCTTCTTTAAAAATTAATATTTGACGATGGACTTTACTGAATGTATAACCGGCCCTTTTCACTTCTCACCTCAATATAAAACATACAGCAGATAGTCCATTATGATTGAGGAGGAAAGTGATGTGCTGTCAGGTGAATACTGATGACAGACTGTAGAGCTGAAGTCAGAAATAAACACAGGAAGGCTGATTCTGAAACCAAGACAAAAGCTGTCGTGTGTTTGTACAGCTATCTTTGTGAGGACCAGTTTTAGCCTTTAACCCACGGAGCGAGGACATCTAGGCCGGTCCTCACTTTGTGACCCCCCCCCCCTCTTTAATGGACTGTTTGTGGGTCAAGACGGGTTAGGGTTAGAATCAGGTTGAGGTTAAGAGTGAGGCATTTAGTTTGGATGGTTGGGCTGTGGAATATATTATGCCAATGGGCGTCCTCACTAAGATAGCTGTACAAACGTGTGTGTGTGTGTGTGTGTGTGTGTGTGTGTGCAGTCCTTTGTGTAGTTTCTTTTGGGAGTCAGCAGTTTGTTCATCTCTTATCAAGGCTCGGCTCAAATCCTGGATGCTCACCTTGCACAGTAAAACACGCTGCATCTTCTTCATCGCATGTTTGATGTGGTATTTTTATCTCCTTCTCTCACACATACACAGAATCGCTCCCTTGTTTTCTTGTTCTTCTCGCTCCTTCCTCTGCATCTTCTTGTTCCTCATATTTAATATCAGACAATAAACCCTCTTTGTTCCTCTTTTCTTCCTCTGTGTCTGTTTCCTCTTCTCTTTTTACGTTCCTCTCTTCATCTTTCTTCTCTGACCTGCACTGTTCATCTTTTTGATGTCCATATCTCGTCCTTTGCACCTTCATGCTTTCTCGCTCCTTTCTGGTAAATTCCTTCCTCCTCTTCCTCGTCTTGTCTCAACTACCCTCCTACACTCCCCCCCGCTCTCTCTGTAGCGCATCAATGCTGCCCCCTGGTGTTTTATAAAAGTCCTATTGCCGTTTGTCGAGCAGCCAGTGTGGATAGATGAGCTTCTACTCTCAGATCAGTGACAGTCACTTTGGGATGGATGTTTAGGGGATGGATTGACAACACACACACACACACACACTTTGACATGAGAACGTATCAATCAAAGAAAAGGGACATTTTAAAATCAGGGATAACAGAAGATAATCCTTAATTAGTTCCACTGTGAGGAAATGTCCCATGAATACACAATCACCTGCCTCACAAGCTTATCAAACAGTTTCAAACCAACTCTCTGGTGTTTTACATGTGGATCATATAAGCAGATTAAGTCTTTTCTTTTTTCTCACCTTAGTTTTTAGATTTTCTTTGGTTCATGTTGGACAAGTCTCTGATTAACTGATGTCGGTCTGATTTTACTGGAGCACATAATGTCCACAATAAAAATAACACAAGAGAGTTCCTCCATTTAAAACGATGCATGGTTGTTACTTTATACATGTGACCTCACTTGGTTCTTTCACCAGCACTGTGAATGTGTTCGACATGAAAAATGCTAATAGTGATAAGGCAGAAAATGAATGTTGTGTAATCTCTTGTGTTGTTGTGCAATGTTTTCTAGGTGAAGAGTGTGTTCAACATGACGGCCAAGGAGGGAAGGAAGAGGTCAATCAGCTGTCTGGTGGCCGTGGGGAACGGAAACGGAGCCGCAGGTCTGACTCTCTGTGAAAACAGATGTACCTGATGTTATAAATTACAATGGATCACAGTTATATTTTAACTTATACGTAAAGATATGTTCATGATAATAATACATTTTAATTAATATAAATGTTTGGAAGCGTTTTAAAGTCATCTCTACCTCCTTTTTGAAAACGTGGAACTGAACTTTCAGTTTCAGCGTATTTGAAAAAGTTTTTTATTCGCCGTCGACATGGAGACGAGCAGGAAACAGTTTTGACACTTTGACACTTTTCAGAAGTGAACGGCAAAGTAAAGAAAATGCTGAGGTTCACCTGCCTTCAGCGTCTCATTACAGAGTCTTTAAAATGTCACAGTGATGGTGCAGACTCATAATCAATATCTCATTTAACGACCAGTCACTCTCATTTAACACCATTTTGAAAGTTTAATTGGCAAAATCGCAAACACACTTTAAAAAACACTGAAATTTATTTGATATTGTCTGTCACTCTGAGTTCCTTTGCTTTAAACTGACTCCCTCCCTCCAGGCTTCGCGTTGGGCAAAGCAGCAGATAGAAATACAGCTCTGAGAAAGGTAAGACCACAAATTAGTTTTTTATTCCAAGCAAAATATTCATTAAATATAATTAATTTTTGTTCAATTAGCACATTTTCGACGGTTGTTTTGTATAAAATGGAGTAAAACAGATCAATCAGTGACTAAATGGACGTTAAAGGTCAAAATTATTCAGGGTCGAACCAAAAACTGACATTTTAATTAAAGTGCTCATTTGTGTGTCTCTACAGGCCAAGAACAGAGCCATCCACTACTTGTATTATATCGATCGATACAACAACCACACCAGTAAGTGAACTGTGTGTCTGTGTGTCTGTGTGTGCTCCTTCTGCCTCTTCTTCTTTCCTCCTTCACTCAGTTGGAGACACTTTTCTTTTTTGTCAAAGAACCAGAAGTTTTCAGACTTTAACCAGGAGAGTTTCCAACAACCAGGAGAGTCGTGTAACATGATGAATGAGACTTAACTATAAGAACCAATGGCGTCTGAAATAACTTCTCCCGCTTCTTATCTCTTATTTCTTCCACCTCTTTGGCTCCACTGCTCTTTCTCAATCTCTCCTTCTCTCACTCCACCTGTTTCTCATTTTCTTCCTCCCATCGTTTCCTCTCCTCCTGTTACCTGCATAATAACATCACTCCAGCTAAGGTTGAACCTCGTTAAGCCACAGCGAATGTTTGGCTCCCTCTCTGTGTGTGTGTGTTTTTGACGTCTCCTCCATCCTCTCCACCTGTTTCCTCCGCACATTACTCCGTCGTTTGTTGCAGCATGTAAATCATTAAGAGTTTCCTAACTCCACCTGGATGTGTTAGAGGAATCAGGGAGAGCAGCCAGAGGGAGATGTTTAAAAGAGATTTGACACCAGAACAAGATTTTAACCCGAAGCAATTCAGCGGCAGCACCTGGCTCCCACTCAGGGACTGTGTGCGTCTGAATGATTAATCAGCCACATCTGCTGCGACGAGCAGGAGACGCTGGTACGTGGACGGACGCGTGGTGGGCAGCGAGAGAGGCTCGAGTCCTGAGAGAGAGCAGGAGAAAACACAAAGAACAAAGCACGAGTAGATTAAAAACGACACAAAACGTGTGGAAGTAATTAAACTTTGAGGAATCGTTTTGTCTGTTCAGTATTTATGAGTTTGGCTGTTTGTTCCTCCTCTTTCTCTTTCTCTACAGTCCGTCAGTTCTCATCAGTCGTTTTTCTCTCCAACAGTTTATCACAACATTGAATCCAAATACAAGAAGACGACGCTTCGCATGAAGAAACAAAACCAAGGTGCAGCATCATTCATGCACAGTTTGATGGGAGGGTCAAGGTTTAAGAATTACACATAAAGGATGAGTCACAATTTAAATAGCTGGGTTTATTTTTTTAAGTTCCTTGAAGCAGCTGAACTCTGTAGTTTAAGCTGAACGACAAGCTTTACAGATTTTTGCCTTACCTAAGTACTTTCAAGTAATGAAGTAAATGTATATATGTAGTTTTAGAAAGTTACAAGAGTGTTCAAGTCCCAGTTTATTCATTATACACTGGTATTAGTACTCTGGATTGGCCGGTACTCAAAACCCACGTATCTGAAAAAGCAAAGTACATGTTTTCATCTGGATTAATAGATATTTGGAAATATTTTTGAAAATACCTCAAATAAATGCTGAATTTAAAACTGTTTTTGACATAAATATTAATTTGTGTACTTTTTTTATGTTTAGCTGACTGGCTGTTTACTGACTGTTACACTAGACTATATAGTACATTCATAGGAAGTGTGTCTGTTTGTCTATATCTTAGGTTATGGTCTCCACTGCCACCGGGCTGTCATCACTCTGTGCAAGCTGATCGGGATCCAGGACATGTACTGCAAAGTGGAGGGATCCATCAATTACCTTAATATCACCAGGGCCCTCTTCACTGGATTAGCCAATCAGGTGAGGCCATGATGGTGCGGTGGTTATTCTCTGAGTGAAGCAAAACTAAATCCTGACCCATTGAGGCTTTTATAGATCTTTGTGGATCTAAAGCAGGGATGTTGACTCACAGACATTTTTCTTTTCTTCTGCCTACGTGTAGGAAACACACCAATCTCTGGCCAACAAGAAGGAGCTCCACGTCGTGGAGTTCCAGTCGCAGCGGGGCCCACTACCCGTGGTGGTGGCGAGTCCTAAAGACGGGGTACGATCGGACCCGGAGCCCGAGGACGAAGTCCCCAACACCAGGCTGCACTGGGATGACGTGAAAGCTACTCAGGGAACCAAGCGCTCGATCTGGGCGGGAGTCAAACGCACCATCTGGTAGGACAGCAGCAGCAGCGGCCGGTGATTGGACTGATGAAGGCTGGAGGGGCTGATGGAAGCTCGAGATTTGGTTTTGCTGAAAAAAAAGCTGACGTTGAAAGTGGAATAAGAACTTTTCTTTCAAGCAGAATATTCTGTTTTTAAATGTTTGATTGTGTCGTCAATCAAGGACTAAAGTTACACGTTTTTCAAAATGAAGACATCAAGTTTGACATCATCATTCTCCAGATGCACCTCACAAAGACCAATACTCAGTCGGTTAGATGTTCCAGAGATCAATACTTTACCTTCTAACTGTAATAAATGTGGAATCGTTCTGATAAACAGTATAAATAAAGCGTAACTCTGTCAAGAAAAAGTTTAACCTTCTGTCGAAGCCTGATTCGTGTTTTGTCTGTGATTACGTTCACCGTCACATTTCCAGGACTCTTATCGTGCGTATCCACTTTAACTATTGAAAAGAAAAGTAAATATTTGGCTCAGTGTGTCTGTGAGACTGGATTTACACATTACACACGAGTGTAGGAGCAGGAACCTGCAGCAGTTTAACTAAAACTTAGATGTGCACGAAAGATGAAAACATATGATAATATGAATAAAAACAAAAATGAATTAGTTGAAATGTTCCAAGCAAATAAACAAGGACACAGCAAATCTTATGTCTATATCTTTTTTTAATCTTGAGAACACAAACATTAATTTCAAGCAGAGTTCTTTGGACCTAAAACAAATCCTTGAAGTTCTCATCGAAGGCGAAAGTTATTTTAAAAAAGTTAAAAAAAAGAAATATTTTTTGACTCATTCTTTGTCACTGCAAAGTTCTGTTAGTGATGCTGTGAGGAAGCAGAGGGAAGGTTCTCCGATGGATTCAAGTCACTCAAACTCTTAATTTTTTTCATTCTGAGCTTTCAAGATTCTCAAATAATCTCTTTTTATTTCAGATTATTTCACCGTCAGCATTTTGTGTAAACAACATCAACGCTTCATGTTGTTGGGTTTTGTTTGTTAGTTTTTTGTTTCTTAAAAATATACATTCAATATGTTACAACCAAAAAAAAAACATGAAGTATTTATTATACACTTTAAATATACATCCAGTGGAATTCAATACATTTTATTTTGAATTGTATTAAAAAATATTTGTTTGCTGAACATTGATAAAAATTTGAAGAGATATTTTCTCACTTTTAATTTGAAATTTTAAAAAGTTATGATGGCTCAGTTCTTAATAATATTTACATTGTTTTCTAAAGTCTGACCGAAACGTCGGGTAAAAATAATTCACTTTAATTGTGAAATGATCCATAAAATGTCCTTTGTTTACATACAATGATATTTCAGGTGTTCGTCTCTTCATCTACTTCCTTTGTTCACTTCTTCAGCCTCCACACGTCACAAAACGGTGCTTCCATCCTACATCCTGAATCTGAGCAAGTTGACGCCACTTGTGGGTACAAACACACACACACACACACACACACACACACAGGTCGGAGAATGGGCGTCTGTCCTCAGAAGTGTTTCCATCGGATGGCGGAGAGAATGGCGTGGATGAAGTAGAGGAGTGTGGCCAAGAAGGCAAACACCTGACACACAGAATAACACAAACCACTGGACTGTGAGGCAAAGATGTAGTGGAGTGACTGATTCTTGTTATTGTAATAAAAACCTGTTCTCACCACAGCAGCGATGTCAATATGGTAAATGTTAGAAAATGAAGCGATGGGTTCCAACTGGATGGTGACGATTGCCAAATCCACTCCTGCGCTGAGGTAGAACAACGCTGCCAGGCTGTGGTACGCAAAGTCCTGGACACACACACACACACACACACATGTGGTTACAACGTGGCCACAGCCCCTCACATCTCCTATCTCTTTTGAATTCTTCCCCTCTCACCGCAGTGGCCCAGCCAGAGCTGCTCTTGTGAACCCCAGCAGCGAAGAAGATCATCCAGAGGAAGGTCATGACGAAGCAGAAGACGGAGACGAACATCACCCAGCCCAGAGGGTTCGGCAGGAACACGTGGGTCGACGCCACCAGGATCCACACCAGACCCCCGAAAATCTGTGGAGTGGAGGACACATGATGATGTCATAGCTTCTTAAACATGACATCATTTCACAAACATAATAATAATAATGCTCATGTTTGTCAAAATAAGTTTTCATTTTGCTGCGAAGAGATAAAAAGGACATTTCAGGTTAGTTTGATGATTTTGCATTTGCAGGGTCGACAACCGGTTTATACAAGTTGTGTAAAAACGAAACCTCTCTCAGGAGAATCGAAAGGAAAGCCAGAAGCTTGGGGTCACGGAGAATGAGTTTTATATGTTTGAAGACGTCACAGTTTAAAGTACAAACCTGAAGAACAAAGCCCACTACGACCAGTTTGCTTGTAAAAGGAGAAACTCTAATAAACTCTTTATCTTTCTATTGTGCATCAGTGAACAAAGTTAATCATTAGACTGGATACCGTAAACGTGTGTGGACATTTTGACACAGCCGGAGTTAAAGGCTGTGTAATATCATTTGTCTGATGTCATCTCCAAAAAGACCATTTCCGTCTGTGCTATAAAGTGTGTGATATATAATATTCTCTGTATTTTCATTTTATTTGATTTATCTATTCATGTACACATTATCTGTATTTTTTATTTAGTTGTATCTACTTAATGTTAATATTATCTGTTGTTATTTAATTGTTTTTAATTTTTAAATGTGTAAATATTTTAATTTCTTTTTATTTATTTCCATTTTGCCTATTTTGTTTGCTGTCTATTTCATTCAAATTTCATTTTTATTTTATTTTGTCTTCATCCAGCCTCTCTCTACCTCATTCTGCTGCTGTAACAAGAATGTAATAATAAAATGTTTGATTTCTTTAAAACTGGAAACTGATATAAAGGCTTTAAAGTTCAAAATGAATCCAGTAGTTTAAAGCTGGAGCTGATGACACACGTGTAGATACAGTGAAGAGATGATCGCGCTGCAGCGAGGGTCGTGGAAAGTGAACAAGTTTCCACTGTTCTCTCCGTTATCTGTTCTTTTTCAATCTCACTCCGACCCTGAAGACATGAAATCCTACCTGCAGCAGAAACGTGTGTGTGAATACTGTCTGGGTTCTGATGCTCTCAGTTTAAACAACATTGAAAGAACAGTGCAGCCTGTGCAGATTGGAATTGATGTAGATATTTGCATAAGCACGGATCTCACTCTGTGGAACCCTTTGTGAAGCTACCTGTATTTTGATTAGATCAGGGTGTGGCCGCTCGCCTGTGCTGTTGATTCAACATCAGCAGAATACAGGCTGCGTTACACCGATACACAACGATCAAATACTACCTGTGAAAAACTGTTTTTTATCAACTGGAACTCTAAGCTTGAGTTTTTCTGTGTAGTTCCAGTAAAGTCTTTTTGAAGAGGAATCTTTTATCTTGTTTTTAGATGGTGATGTTGACTGATTAGAACCTTTCCTTTCTATTTGTATTGTAAGTTAGTCTGAGCTCAGGTTGGCAGGTGTTTAGTTTAGTTTAGATAGAGAGAGCAAACCACATCCTGTAAGGAAGTCTTATTGTGACGCTGTGTCGTAACATCTCGTGATATTGAAATATCTATCGTCTGAATATCAGAGAGATGAAGGACTGACACAAGGACACGATCATTCTCAAAACCAGCGTTTTGCCGCCGCAGCTCAAGACAAACACATGACTTGTTGCAACCTTAAAGCTTTTACTCTAAAATAACAGTGGCCGACTGTTCTTTTTATTTCTTTTCAATCAGTGGTGTGTGTGTGTCTCCTCCATCTCTGCACCTTTTCTCTCTCCACACCTCACAACCACTCATCACAACCCAGCACTGCTGGGTGTCATCAGCCGATCAATGGCGGCTATAAGAAGCTCAGTCCCCCCCCCCCCCCCCCCCCCCTTGCTCGGTCGTTGTGTTGTTTATTTTGCCAGTGGTCATCTGAGCGGTTTCTATCTTTTGTCGTCGTTCAGCAGAGAGTTGGCCGCATTCTTCCTCAGGTTAGTGTCGCTGGTACAATATGAGTGAAATGTGAGATGTGACTCTGGGGCTCCTCCCGTACAGAGAATATCTTTCATCGTCTCACGTTTCACCGACATGAACCATTTTGGGGAAACAGTTCATAATCAGGTTTTGAAAAACTTTTCAGAGATTTAGAAAAATAGGATGAAAACTTTTAGTTTAGCATCTACATGAAGTTATCACATCATGATGAGATGAAGCAGAGGATAAAGGTTCATCACAAGAGTCTATCACTCTCTGTCCCTTAAGATGACAAGAACTCTTCATGTGTTGTTTATGCATCTCTTGGTTTTAATTTTGTGATGCAGCAGAACTAAAATGTACAGTGTGAATAAAATTAATTGTTAATTGCAACAACTTTTGCATCATGTGTTGTATCTAAAATGCTTTAAAATCAAATCGGATTAAAACCCTGATTGCTGAATTAAAAAAAAACACCAAAAAAACCTTCTAAATGTCTTCAAGGTCAAGCTGCTGCGTCCTCAGTCATCGTTCACTCACCAGCTCAGGCAGGTAAAACACATCGGGGGCCGTGGTGCAGATTCCCAGTCCGCTGGGCAGGCTGCCCATTGGCTGAGTGGTGGTTGCAGCCATCTCTGCTTGTTCCTTCACCAAGAGTCAACAGTTGTCCCTTCTCCTCTGGACTAACGGAGCGGCAGCAGGAGGAGCAGAATCTTATAGGAGAAGCAGAGCGAGCGAGCGCACAAACCCGTTCTGCCACTGTGGCTGAGAGATAACTTCCCAAAACAAGATGGACACACCCTCAACTCGCAGCAGCCAAGGCCGACGCGGTGTTCGGCGTGAGGCTGTGAGCCACAGGAGAAACTTTGTGCCCTCGAGCCACAGCGACAACATGCAGCTGAATTATCCTCATTGTTGAGTCATGTGACGACTCAATGAGTTTTAGTTTATGTGAACTTTATGACCTTCAGCTTCTTGTGGCCGAGGAGCTGCAGTTTTATATTCAGAGACTTTACAGGAAGACAACAAGACGTTTTAAGAAGAGTACATGAAAAAATATTAACTTCAACGCTGCAGTAATCCGAGTTTTTACTTTAACTGAACAAATGACCATTGTGCAATGTGAAAGGACAATTATCACCAAACTCTTCCTTCTACTTTTTTGTGGAGTTCTTTTTAACTTTATTTGATTTTGAGCCTTGAGCTACAAATGTCACTGCAATAAATAAAAAACCTTTTATAAGGGATTTTGTTTTCCTTCCAAACTCGGCAGATAAATGTGGACGATATGACGGCTCCCTGAAAGTGAAGCCAAAGCATCTTGATCGCCCCCGGTGCCAATAAAGGTCATGAACTCCGCCTCCTCCCTGTTAGTGGATGGTACATGGACCAAAAGACAAATCAACTTTTCTCAATGATGGTTTCTGTCATTTTAGGTGTAGTTCTTATCACAAGCATGTGTATCAGCTGAAACTTGAATTCTGATGAAGTTAAATGAGGTTACACTTTTTTGACTGATGTAGTGAAGCTGTAAAATTTGTAAGGTACATGTATACAATATACTGTATATCTATATATTCTGAATTTGTTCATTTAAATGTGTTTGTGTTGCTGAAATAAGAGGATTCACCTTCTGGGATCATTGTAATATACTTTTCATTTTGTCTCAAATGAAGAAATAAATGATAAAAGGGTGAAAATTACATGTTCACATAATTACTGCTCTCATCCTCCTGTGATGCTTCTGAACAAACAGTGAAACCATGATGTCGATTAAATTCACATCATCGATCTCAAAAAGAAAACAAACACAATGAACTGAAGCCATAAAGTGAGAAGAGCTGCAGTGAAGAGGGAGAGTTGTTTATATTTCTGTATTTGTACAATTATCATTGGTTCATAGTAAACATGCAGGAAATAAAGGGATTCGTCTTCACACTCGATCTACTGCTGCGATTTTCAGTCAACATTCAACAACATCTTTGATTTGGAGACATTTTTACTTCTAGCTGGAGTCAAACTTCATCATCGATCTGTCGTACATCTTCATAAAAACAGTGGAAATACAGCAAATCTATAAAAACTGTGAAAATGAACAAAAGATTATAAAAAAGTGAAAAAGAAAAAGTCAAGTCACTGCTGTGTTTTATAATTTGATGAAAAACACAATACAAGTTTTTTATGTCCTCATCAATTCATCTTAATGAAGATGATAATAATGATAATAACTTGGATTTATATGAAGCTAATTTCAAACTTATTATAATAGTTCCAGGATTTTTATTTTCAACATTTTTACCAATTTCTCAGGGAATAATTAACGGAACTTGATGAAAATAATCAGACATATTTAGAGAAATAATATCTATGAGTGTATCGAATTTGGTGCTGATTGATTGATTGATTGATTGATTGACTGATTGATTAATTGACTGATTGATTAATTGATTGATTGATTGATTGACTGATTGATTGACTGATTGATTGACTGATTGGGCCTCACATGCACCACCAGGTGCCATTCTTATTATTATATTATTACTACTGTTATTAATGGAGAGGCCGACGTCGCTGATCAGACCAATGAAAAAGTAACATTCACAGTCCTGCTTGTTTTCCTCTCAGTCATTCACTTAATGTTTTGCCACATCGGTTCAAAAGCATCATGATAAAATAAAAAAGAATAAAATGAAAACTACATAATTCAATGTTTAGTCCAGTGACAGCTCAGCTCAGTTATCTGGTTCTTCCTGTTCTTGGTTTTGTGGTCGAGTCGTTGTTGTTTGTTTTAGGACCTCTTCCATCGGATGGCGGAGAAAATGGCGTGAAGGAAGTAGAGAAGCGTGGCCACATAGGACATCACCTGAAAACACACGAACACAGACACTCGATTAACACCAAGAGGACAGAGACGTTACAAAGCCTGGACACCACGGAACTACAGCTGCTGATTGAAATGAGCATTTAAGATGCTTTTGATTTGACCACGTAGCCTCAGAGCTGCAGCTGCATTATCTCTAAGTATTTATTTTCTTTGGTTGAGAAAAATTCCTGTAATTTCTGCTACTTGATGCTCGTGCTCCTCTAAGAAAATAAATATTGTAGTTTTAATTCACGACATTTGACTTGTTGATGAATATTTAGCATAAAGTCCCATTTTATTTATCTACTTTTAACCTGTCAGCTACTTTTGTGAAATTTCTAGAGTGATATAAAAATAAAATATTTCCATCTGATTCAAATCCTTAAACGTTTTACTGATTGAAATCAAGAAAGAATAGATTTGAAGATTTTTAACAAATATGCCAAATACATCTGGTGTGTGTGTGTGTGTGTGTGTGTGTGTGTGTGCTACATCATACCACTGCAGCAATATCCAGTCGGTAGAGTTTGAGGTTTTCATCAGCAGGTGGCAGATTCACCAGAGGCGCTCTCAAAATGGTGATGTACGCCAAATCCACCGACGCACTGAGGTAGAAAACCACAGCCACAAAATGATAACCCACATCCTGCAGAGAGAGAGAGAGGGAGAGAGGGAGGTTATTACCCAACAGACTCACACAACGACCGTTACCAAAACCCCGAGTTTCAAATGAAGAGCAATAATCACATACAAGTGGTATGTTCGGGTGTCTACATACTTTTGGCCATGTACCCTTATCTACTTTTAACCATTTGTCCAACTGGGCCGATCAGCAGGTAGTGGGCGTGTCTCACCAATGAGGGCCAGACGCTGCTCTGATTGGCTCCGCAGATGAAGATGAAGAACCAGAGCGTGGTGAAGACGAAGCAGAAGACGGACACGAACATCACCCAGCCCAGAGGGTTGTCGGGCGACACGCGGGTCGAAGCCACCAGGATCCACACCAGACCTCCAAACACCTGCAGGGGCGGAGGAGTTAGGGTGGAGTCTCACGAGTGCAGAAAAAGTTTGGTTTCGGTTTTCATCATGCATTCATATACATCCAGTCTCCATGGTAACAGGGCCCATGTTTCCTTTAAACAGGCGTTTAAGACGGAACACGACCTTCAACGTTGTAAATGTAAAACAAGCCAAAAACAGATGACAGCAGAGAAACTTTTCATCTTTTCCGCTCGTCTAAACCTCCACAGGATCATTTTTTACACATGAACAAACAGGAAATCCTTAAGTCCTTAAACGAACAATATCTAACTTCAGCCACTGACAAACAATATTGATCGTGATCCATGATGAATGACCAGTAAAAGCTGTGTAAAGCTCCGAGGACGTTCTGATGGTGATTCTCATAAAGATGCATCGATATGAGTTTTTAAATTACAGCTTCTTCTTCTTCTTTAACATGAAGCTACGAGAGAAATTAAAAAGAGCAGAGGCTGCAGCAGATATCCTCACGCTGTTCATAAAGTACTGCATCCCACATTTCCCATGATGCAACTGAACAGCATTGTTTTATCAGAGGCATCATAATCACTGAATGCACTTCAGTTTAACAGTTTAACAAAGGTTGAAGCAGAAAAGTGATTATTGTCTTGACTTCGGAATGTGTAAAGTTGGTGGAGTGTCCCTTTAAAATAAGGGTAAAGAAAGAAAACACACACACACACACACACACACACACACACACACACACACACACAGCTCCCCTCTGGTGTTTCTCCAGTCTCGCTCTCTCCTCCTTCGACAAACATTGGGCTTGAAAGAGTCTTTGGCATTTTGATGGAACATAGTTCAGAGATAAGAGTCACTGTGAGGTTCATAAACTGCTGAAAAAACAGGTTTCCTTTTAATGTCCTTAATTTTCATTGTGAACTCAGACTTTCCCTCCGTGTCACGATGATAAGATATTTTTATAAAGCAGCGAAGACACGTCACAGTCGGACGATCACGGGGGTGAATAAAATTAAAAATAAAATTAAAAAGTATTGATGGCTGAAAACCCTCTGTTGGTTCAGATCCTTTTCAAAGACGATATAACAACAAATAAATTCCTCTGACCACAAACATAGTAAATGCCCTCGTGGCTTTTTGATCACAGATCTGCACCTTTACTCTGATAAACTCCATAAAAAGATCAGATTCCTACTGTTGAAAATGAATCTCTCAGGATTTTCATTAAAGATTTGTCGATAAATAAATCTTCTCATTCTACTTTAATAAAGTGAAACTAAGATCAGAGTGATCTGCATCTGAACTACTCTAAAATGTTACTCATCTACTCATTTTATCTTGCTGGTCCTTTCATGTACTTATGGAAAGTCTATTGTGATTACATCAAAATAAAACGCTGTGAATGATTCACCAAACTCAATGGACAACAAGAATGAAGCCGCTGTGCATTTGGAACTCAACCTTCAATACGACTGCATGCAAAGAATGTGCCCCACCCTGAATTATACAATACTCCTGCAGGTAGTCTGAACCTCAGATGATCCCTCAAAGTACCTTTTAAGTCCATAACTCTATATTATCTCAGTAAGTAATAAATGAAAGAAAATACAGTTCATTACTGCATTAGTTCATTCCAACATCACTTGAAGTAATCACATGTGGTATCAGCAAACATCACATGAATCTTATCTCTGCGGCTCGGAATCAGACTTACATTATCTGTACCAGAGGAACTTTGCTCATATATATAAATACAGGACTTTACAGGGGAACTGGCCTGAAGTCCATTAAGTTTCTTTGAAAAGATTAGAGGATTTCATTTATGCAGATCGGGTCCAAACTGCCCGTCTGCTGGGATGAAAATCTCACAGGTGCATCTTGGTAAATTGGCTGCTCTAGAAAACGTGCGTGATGTTCGGCTGATGCTTCGAACATGCGACAGACGCAAAACTTAAAAAAAACAAAACAAAACAAATATCTCCCGGTGATAAAAAGCTGTGACACACACGTAGAAGACACTGACGAAGACGTCAGGAGAGTTTGTGGCGCTAAGAGCAGTCGAGGTTCTGTGAACATGATCACATGACCTCTGCAGCAGAGTTAATACGTCACTTCCTGTCTCCCTGCTCCGCCTGAATAATGTGACTTGTTGCTGTTGTGTTGAAAATGTGTGAAAGACAAACTGCAGATAAAGTCCAGAACTAATTCTCCAGACTTTATCTGCAGGTCATGTCAGGAAACCGACTCTGAACAGTTGGCAAAAATAAAACCTGTCAAGCCACTTCTCCCTCCGTGCCCTTTAGATATCTGGGATGGTTTAGATTTACAGTGCAAACTCTGGCCGGAGCAGTAAACATCACCATTCTCATGCACCTGAGCTGCAGATCATTTTATTCCATGAAAAGCTGCAGCGTAAAAAAAAAGACCCGAGCCAGCGGGTAGACCACGTGAGCTGATGGCAGGTTTAGATTTACACTTCCTCTGCAACTAAAGCTGTTTTCCACCTGAGTCGCTCAGATTTAATCTTCCTGGTTTCTTGAACCGAAACTGTAATTGTTTGTGAATGAAGAATTTTTGATGTTAAGCTCAGAAATTGGAAGTAAAATCAAAAACAAATTTGATTGTAGTTTACCGATGAGACATCAGAGGAATAACCAGCATTTCGTTAAATAGTGTTGTTGAAAAAAATATTGATAGGTAGAAAATAATTTTATGGTTTTCTCCTGAAATAAAATGCATCAGGTTTGGAAATGTACCATCACGTGTAATGGACATTTCTAAATTTTACATCTCTGCTGAAATACTTTTCTTTTCTTTATCCGACAGAAATTGCCTGTTACATATTTAAAATGTCTGTGATCGTTATTTTGAAAACTGTGAATTATATTTAAAATGTGCAAGATCCCGTCACCATAGATACCTTTAACAAATACCTGCTGACCATCCAGGGCTCACCCTCAAAATAAAATGCATCAAGGCTTTTCTTATTGTGACAGAAATGGCCACACACATGAAATCTCAAGGAGCCACTTTGAATATTAAGATTCGAATTAACGCTGTGAAAAAGAAAAAAGTCAGATGAAGGATCAGGATCGGAGCATGGCTTTGTTGTCCCCTGTAGTGTTTGAGGTTTCGTGCTGTTTTTCAAGTGTGTAATGTTTGTTTGCTCAGCTCTGGATTAAGTATGTAAGTGGAGCAGTGTTACGATGCCACATGGTGACATTTACAAAAGATGAGCCAGTTTGTCAAATTCTGTCCCTGCTTGACATGGAAACATGTACTTTTCCCAGAAGTCAGTTTGTTTCGACTGTCTATAACCTACTTATTCATTAGTTTCACAAGATGAACCAAACTTATCAACTCCTCTTCATGGATGGTTGGCTGGTCCCTCTGCCCCATGTTGGCTCCACTGATCAAACACTAATGTCTGACCAGAACAGAGAACTGTGGCTCAGTGGAGCAGTGCTGAGGAGGCAGATAAGGAAATAGAGAACGGTACCTGAGGCTGCGTTGAGTCAGTGGAGGAAAGATGGAGACGCTACGATCAGGGTAAAGTGGAAAAGTGAACCGATGAGAAACTCACAAACTCTGGGATGAAGCAGACGTCAGGAATGGAGGTGAAGATCCTGCAGCCTGTGGGCAGAACGTCACTGGACGTGGTGGAAGCCATAGTCCAAAACACTGCGTGTGTGTGCGTGTGTCTGATTTCCTCAAGAATGAGATGTGTAATCTGTTTTAATCTGCTTTTTAAAGGCCGTCTCTCTCTCTCTCTCTCTCTCTCTCTCTCTCTCTCCTCCCACACCTCCCTCCTCCACTGCAACTACTCCTCCATCCCTCTGCTTGAAACTACCAGTCTGACAGGTGGTTTTGGGTTTTGTTTGTGCAGAGGGAGGATGTCTCCTCTCTCTCTCTGTCTCCCTCTCTATCTCTCTCTATCTCTCTCTTTGTTTTTATGTGTTTGCGTGTGCCCTCATAAGTTTATAGTGTTTGTGTGTGATCTATAAATGGCAGGAACCTTAGTTTACATGCACACAAAAAAGTGATTGTGTGGCAACTGATGCAGCGCTAACGGGGGCTCGGAGAGGATCGAGTGCTGAGGGTGAACGTCACCGGTGGAGAAATTAGAGCAAATTAGAGCAAATTTCATCTGAGCTCTGTTTCCATGTTCAAGGTTGTTGGATGGTGCTTCAGTGTAGATATTCTTATTTCTAATTACCTCACACATAGAAGTGCGATCACAAAACCCATTGTTCTCTCCAAGCAGCTTTGTTTGCAGTATCCGAGGTGTTTGAGGCATACACCCAAGATGGACGACGCGTCTCCGCTTCCTCCCACTATCTAGAAATGAAGCTAGAAACAAACGTTAGTGAGTCTGCACCACAGAGATCTGGTGGTGGAGTCGCAGTCGCGAGGTCCTGTAAAACAATGATCAAGATTATTTGGCTTCACTTCTGGGGAGCTGTCACGTCGTCCATCTTTAGGAATTTCTCATCGAGGTACAGAACTGAACTAGAATGACTCAGTCGAGCGTTTATCTCCACCAGGTCCCGTCATGAAACTCAAACCTTTGATTTCCTTCTCAATCCATATTATCTGTCAATCCACTTTTTAACCAAGTTTAGTGGAAATCAGTATTTCCCAAAAAAAACCCTTTAAGACGAAGCCATTAAAACATTCTGTTAATCGTTCAACATGATGACTAATGTCAGTCTGCTGTGAGTCACAGTGTACGTGAGATATGTGAGAGAAGACATTATTCTTTTGTGTGTGAGTCGAAACTGACAAACACAGTGTGATGGTTTCTAGGCTGAGGGATTAAAACACAGAACAATATACAAAACCTATTGTGTTGGACGACTCGGAACCTTTTCATCTCCGTCTCAGTTTGATATCGGTCCCTCTGCTGTCGTGTCGGAAAACATGTTTCTCTGTTGCTACAATCGTTCATCGTACGGTTACATTTGACAGGTTTCCAGAAAGATTTGCTTTTACTTCTTTTCAAACTGGAAATAAAGGCTTTGTGGTCTTGATATTAATTTTGCTGAATGTGTTGAATAATGTGTTTAATATCATTAGAGTTCAATATTAAAGAAAACTTACAGTACACAAGTTCGTCTGTGTTGACGACATTGAGGCACTTAACTTTGTGCTTTGGAGATTTAAAAAGACGTATGTATTTGTCAGCCGGTCACCGTGGAGCGATCAAGACACCTTGGCTTCATTTCTTAGAGCTGTTTGACGTCCATCTGTGTATACTGTCAATAATATACAGGCTTAAATAACCCTGTAAGGTTAAAAGTTAAAGGATTCATTTAAGATTGTGTGTCTCAGTTCACCTCTTTTCCAGCTAATTTCTCAAAATTAGATATGTTATCTTGTCAGACGTAGCTTCAGAGCTGCTTGTTCAATGTTCTGCACAACGGACACACGAAGCTAAACAAGCTTTTACCAGAGAACTTCAATATAGTGCAGCAGTGAGTCATTCTGTGAAAGATGCTTTCATGTTGTTCCAGAGGCAGAAACAACCTGCTCCGTTCTGCAGATGGTAACACACCCTGAGTCAACCTGTTGGTGTCTGAGCCTCTGCTGGAGTCACTCACGTGCTCCAAGGTGAGAGGTCGGTGACACAGAGTCGTCTCGGTGGAGCGAGGGATGAGATCCAGACAATCTGTCCTGATGTTTCCAGAATTTCTTTACTGTTATTACAGTTTAACCAAGAGCAAGAAGGATGTGATGTGTTCCATGTCACCCCTAACCCTTATTTTACTTTATTTTTATTTTAGGGTTTTAACCCATCTCTGCCCACAATGACCACAAGGTTGTTGTTTTTTTATGTGCTGAGTTCTCGTGATGCAGTCTGAGATGAGGTAATTAAATACAAACTAGTTTTACAAGTTAAAAATCATGAATATACATGAAGTATAATAAACTTCAGCAGGTTTCTAACAACAGCAACAAGAGTTTCTACCTCCAGGGAAGCTGGGACGCTATTTAATGATGTAAATGCAACATCATGATCTTTACAGCAGCAACATTTTACACAACATCTAACAGCAGATTTGAACACCAGCTCAAAGCAGAAGAGTTATTTTGATTTGATTTTTTGCTTTTATTTTATTTGATCTCTGTTCAACTTTTGTCAACTCAGGTGGTTTTTAAATGGGATTTATGATCACGAGGAAAATTTACCCAGTGGATCTTCACTCAAAATTAAATGTCAAATTATCTAACACATACAGACACACAAAATCAACACACAACACAAGTTGTGTTTGATGAGTGCTCAGAGAAAAAGTGTTTGGACTAGCTCCTTCATTATGGATCTGGTTACAAGGCTACACACACACACACACACACAAATAATTCCATGGGAACCCATGCCAGCTCTGTCAAAATACAATGGCTATCCGTCAGTGTGGATTGTAGTTACACAATGTAAGACACACAAACGCTGATACAAAACGTGTGACCTGAATGACAAAAACCACATATTTCTCATTCACAACAAGAAAGAGAAATGTGTAACGTCTCAGGGTTTCCTGCTCAGTCCCTGCAAACTCCAGGGCCTCTGCTGCGAGGCGGCCCCTGACCTTTGACCTCCCCAGATTAAACAGGAATGATTTGGATGAGAAATCTGAAACATGATCCGGAGTGTTTGTCATGCGGCAGCTAAAGTTCGCTCAAACATTTGGAAGTTAAGGATTTCTTTCTGCCCTTTTTCCGCCAACGTGGTGCCAAAGCCGGGTTCGACGCCCTGTTCTCTCTCTGTCCCCATTTCACTCTTCACTCTCTGTCCTGTCAAATAAAGCCCAAAGAGCCTGAAACATATATTGGGTGCAGGTCCTAAAATTCTGGCACCAGCATGGATAAAATGCCATCCATGGATGGATGGATGGAGGAATGGATTGAGAGATGGATGGATGGATGGATGGATGGATGGATGGATGGATGGATGGATTGGTGGATGGGTGCAGCAGCAGCAAGATGTTAAAACATAATGAGATTTTACTTTGCATTAATATTTGTAAATTAATATAAAACCTTGTTATTTGTTTTATATATTAAACTATGCAATTGCCAGTTAATGCTAATTTTCTATATCAGCAGCATTTAGACTTTGAGTGTTTTCTTCTGTTCACAGAATCCACGAGTGCAGGCTGCAGTGAATGGATGTTTACAAAGAGAAGAAAAACTTCCTCTTGGATCATCTTTCCTTCTCGAGCACAACTATTCCGAGGAAACTCCCACTTTCCTGCTCAACTGGTCTTGAGCTGCTCTTGTGCCTCCTCCTCCTCCTCCTCCTCTTCCTCGTCTTCTTCTCCTCCTCAGACACAATAGTCGTCCTGCAGTAATGAGAACTGGGTGAGAACGTCTCAGGTGATAACAGCAGTCGAGGCTACAATGACGTTTTCTGTCTGTGGTTGAAAATCATTCCACTGCTCACGGTCAATATTCATGATGAGCAGAGGTTTAATATTTTATATTTAATACCTTTACACTTTATAATGATACAGGTGAACACACCTGTATCGTTATGAAAGGTTGATTCAACATTCTGTGACCTAATGTCACAGAATGTGATGTCAAGTTTTCATCAACATCTATCAGCAACTGTTAAAATACAAATGAGTCAAAGATGAAAGTTACACTTTTAGTAAAAATGTCATCGTGACATTGATGCTTAAAACTAGTATTTTTAACCAAGTCTAATAATAATCAATTAAAGCCCCTTTCTCATATTTTTGTATCCCTGACTACCAGAAAGTCATAATTTATACATTCAATTTATTGTCAGGATTTGATCATTGTTCATTTTTTACTTTATATTAATTTCCCTAACTTTTTTTCACACTCTCTGCTTTTGATCACTAAAAAGAACCGAGACATAAAAAAGAAAAAAGCTGTGAATACATATAATCGCAAACATAAATCATCTTTCTGGTGTCGTAGCAGATTAGCAGCGAGAAGCAAAAGAAGTAAGCAGAGGAATTTTTCCAGGAGGAGACTGTTCAGTTCGCTTCAGGCATCAGATGACAAACAAATCTTTTCAACGGTTGTGAGTCAACACGATGTTTCTCCTTGATTAAATAAATCTAATGTACAGGAAACTAATGTCTTTCTTTTCTCTCTGTGTTCATTGAAGCCCTCAGATATATAATCATCTTTTAAGACTCTGCAGCCCAACATGACACAACGGTTCCTGGTCACCACGGGTAACATCACAATGGCAGCGGTGCAGGAATGTGGAAATACTGGATATGCAATATTATTCTACCGCAAACACGACACCAAGGAAATGGCCTGTGTGTTTGTGTGTGTGGTTCTCTACACACTTAGCGACCTGAGGAACAAGGTTTTATTAGGTCATTTAGCCCATCCTCATTTTAAACCATTTGAAGGTCACAGGTTAAGTTGTTTGAAGATAAGAAGCTCTGAAGAAGCGGTTGAAGAGACTTTAGTGGTTTCATACATTAGAGGGATATTTTTTATATATATAGGCTTTCATTCCTATTTTAAATCCCATGAATATTTGTGCCACGGCTGAGTTTTAATTTATTAGCAAACTAACAGAGATATTCTCAACTGTACTCATGGTCCATGTTCCTTCTAAGTTTCATAGAAATCTGTTGATTAATCCTGCTGACGAACGAACCCACGCACAAACCAGCAAACACACAGGGCTTGTTGGTGAATCAAGGACCAGCCAGTCTCACGGGAACTGTAGATTTATTCTGTGCTCATGAAAGTAATTGTGTACATTTGTAAAAATCACAAAGGTTTCCATTTCTAAAACAAACTGCTGATGATATGTGAAAATGAATTCAACCCATAAATGATTAACTTTTGACTCACACAGTTCACATGCTATATCTTGTTTGTTTAATCCATAGAAAAATGTCCGGAGACATAAAACAGGATTTATGGAGTTTGTTTGATTCCTACATTCATTTAATGTTTTGCCAAGAGTCAAACGATGCGTCACGGGATTGTTGCACATGAAATGTTGTATCATTATGATTCATGTGAGTATTAACTGTTGGTGGAGACATGAAACCACAGCTGAGAGACAATCGCAGCCGCTCTGTGCCTCAACTGATTCAACCTCGCACTGCTCCGGTCCTTTTATACCAGGCCATAAAAAGACGACAGGAGACTAATTATTAACCGTGAACGCTGCTCTGATGCCCTGTAACCCTATACTACACACACACACACACACACACACACATACCCGATGTTGAACTAGGGTGGAGAGATGAGTGGAGCAGGTCAGTGAACAGGCAGATGAAGTGACTGAAAAATCACCTGTGATAAATCAATTAATATAAGTTACTTCTTCATTGCTGCTTCTATTCGTACAGAAACATGTCTTGTTTAACTCTGTGATTAAAGACACATAATGTAGTTCATAATATGACCTTTGTCTTTATTTCACACCTGTTCAGGGAATTAACAGACTCATGGGTCACTATCAGTTTCTCACGCTGCTGTTCACAAAGACGTCTCTGTGAATGTGTTGTATATTTATTGGCAAGCGTCGTGCTGGCATTTCTAAAAACTGAGATCGCTTCATGTCCAATGCAGAGTAGATATGTACGTTCAGGAGAAGTGTGGTTATAATATGTATTTTTATTTTCGTCCACAAATGAAAAAAAGAGACAGACACCGATGAGTGACATGTTTCATAGTTGTAAAGTTATTTGACCCTTTTAAAAAATAAAATATTTTTCTTTTTTTAATTAAGTGAAAAAAAAAGAATATTTCAAAAACAAAATCAAATATTTATTCATGAACATGTTTTTTACATCTTCAGCAGAACACAGTGGATTTTTGAAGTAACCTATCATAGTCTGTCACATTAACAAAAATAAAGAACATTGCCAGCTTCATTCTTTAAGTTTACGTGTTTCATAAATGAATTTATGGCACTTTCAAGGGTTTTATTCATGTTAATTAACCAAGCTGATACCTAGAATACAAATAATTTAAATTATTTCATAAAAATCAAATCAAGTTGTACTTGATTGATGTAATGTAATCATCACCGGGCTACATGGAGGAGGTCAAAGGTCAACTCTGTGATATCAAAGGCGTTGTGACGGTGCATGGGGTCGACAAAGACCTCCGGACATCCCGATTGTCCCGTGGTGTGCTGCTGGTGTTTCAGAGAATCCAGGGTGGCGTAGATGGCTCTGGCCCGCTGCTCCTCTGAGGGAGGGTCGGCCCAGCGGTGACCGGGCAGCGAGGGCGAGTGGAGGAAGAAATAGACGGACGACATGTAGACTTTTACAAACTCCTGTTTGACGAAAGACAAGTCTCTCTGCGGACACACAGAGAGGAAGTTACAGAGACAGCTCATCATCAGTCTGCAGGGACACACACACTCAGGGAGGAACGTGCACAAACATATTGACTTCTGGGTAGAGAGAAGACGCCAGGTTACTCACGCTGACATCGCCCTCCACAGGTCTGTACTGGTATTACATAAATATACTCAAACATACACACCTTCTGTGCTCTGCTCATGTTGATCTCAGTTTCCAGCCACGCACCCTGGAGGAAAACAGACAAGTGTCAGAAAACAGCAAAGTATTCTACAGTACAATCTTATGATTTGTGCTTTAATCCAGGACGTATACGGATTCCCTCTGAACTGACCCTGAGAGCATCCAGCAGGTCAAGTTGGTCCAACAGAACAGGAAATGTGGAAAGTACAGGACTGCATATGAGATCTGACACAGAAGGAAATGTGATTTAATGTGGCCTCTATGAAAACACACGTGTAGTTTGGATAAGAGGCGTGGAAGGTGTGTGTTACCTGCATTCTGCATGGTGGGCCTGTCCATCAGTAGAGTGTCCGCTAACAGTTGTCTGTGCAGAGCCAGCAGGTGGACACAGCTCAGACAGTGCAGCAGAGTGTCGGGGAGGAGACTGAAGGAGAAAACACGTTATGCAGTATAGTGATGGATGTTTATATTAAATAAATCTGGTTGTGATTTATATAGTAAAAAGGGTGTTGTTGCTGATGTTCCCACCTGAGCTGCGTTCTGGTGCGACTGTTGATTGATTTTAACTTCACCATCAGTCTGGGCTGCCGCCTGGCCTGAAGGATCTGCTGGAAAACACCAGCGGCTGGAGCTGAGAGGAGAGGGACATTGAAAAGGTTTCACCAAAGTCACTTTCTGTCTGGACTTCTTTTAAGCTCTGCTGCATCATCTTACATCCTCTGGTGACTGAAGCTTCCATGGCTACGTCCTTCTCGTAGGGAGTTCCACCGTTCACCTGCAGCTCATAGGTCCTATTCTCAGATGAAATGGAAAAAAATGAGTGACTGCCAGAATAAACCTGTGATGTGTGTTTGGGTGATTTCAGTGTGTACCTATTGGGGAGTGGATTTCTTGTGTCGTCGGTCAGTTTGAGGAAAGCCCAGCCGCAGCTCAGTTCTCCTCTCTCACCAGTCGACTGCAACACACATACACACATGTAACTATAAATATAAACATCTGTTTTATTAGTAATGCTCCATTTTTAGAGAGGAAATGTCTTTTCATCACAACAGTAAAACATTCTGTGGTTTCAATTTCATCACTATCCAATGCGTCTCCGTATGTGTATGTCTGTCCTCACATTCCGTATAAAAGTGACCCCCAGCTCAAAGAGGATCCCGAGGTCAGGAGATGCAGAGTTGCAGCGAAGGAAACAGTCTCCGTCTAGGAGGGTGGGTAGGATACCTGTCATCTGGATTCAGGAAAACAAATCTTCAGATTTTTAGTTAGTATTTTTTTCAGAAATAGTTAAATGAACGTTCACAACAGAGAGACACAACAACAGCTTGTAATTCCATCTTCTTAATGTTGTAAACTCACCCTCGGAGAGAAGCTCCAGGTCTTTGGGCTCTTAGGGTTGTAAGTTGCTCTCACTGTGTGGATGTTACTCAACACCTGAAACACAAGATCAGCTCATGAAAACTAAATCTGGGACAGAACAAGGGAGTGAAATGCAGGAAAATTTTGAGGAAATGAATCACAGATCCAGGAGTAAAGAGAAATGTAGCACTGGTGGTTCACAGGGAAAACTTGAGTAGGGTAGTTATGTACAGTTGCACAAAAAGCTGTGCAGTATAGACTACAGAGATAACGCTGATACCTGAGTTCCATCGAAGGCACAGATGCGTATGTGTCGGCTCAGGACCTGAACTCCGACCCCCGGGGTGGGAATCATCTTGCAGCTCCACAAAGTGAAACTGACACAAGTGCGGACCTGCCGAGCACGAACCTGCACAACAGGAAACGCATGGAAGATGAGACATCTGAACTGATTCAAGTAAAATCCGTTTGTGACTAGTTAATGCGCACTGAGAAAAACTGAAAGAGACGAGAGAGCGTGTCTCACCCTGCCAGTGTCTGGGTCCAGAAAGAGGTCTTTAAAGGAGAGCTGTGATTGGCTGAGTTCAGGCTGAATATGGTGACTTCCTCTGTATGTTAGACCTAGAAAAGATACAACATGTTATCACTTTGCTTTATTATCACAAAGAGCTGAAATATAATGTTGTGGTGGTGAGAGAATCATCCAAAGGGTCTCTCTGCATGACTGGTTTAAAAAATGAACATGGTAATATTACCAATACAGCTAATGAAAGGTGTGTGTGTGAGTGTGTGTGTGTGTGTGTGTGTGTTGTTGAGTGTATAATGACCTTCCTCCACCAGCAGTTTATTGAGAGTTGATGGTCTGAAACCTGAAGGTATAGCCCCCATGGCAGAGAGCACATCTGTTGCATCAATCTGTCACACAAACACACACACATTGAATACACAATATTTGTTGATAGGTTAACTAATTCTTTCTAGTTAAATAAAGTAGTATATAGTAGTATATAATGTAGTTTTACCTCAGTCAGAGCCTTTCTCACAGTGGACCAGTTAGAATGTGAGGCCCCACTGTCAACGAACATGTGACAATGGTAAAGTCTTTATTAGTTTTACACCAATATTGAAATGAAAGATATTTGATGGTTGTTCATCACGTGGATACAATGTTAAACTTTATTTGATCTCACCTGTGCTAAATGTCACTAAACTTAAAAAAACGATTAAAAAGTTGAACCTCTGTTTGTCATCAGTCAGCTCTTCACCATCTTGCTCTTCCTCCTCCTCAGATGACTCCTCCTCATTTTCATCATCATCATCATCATCGTCATCAACACCAGAGTCAATCTGAAAAAGTTTTACAGTAACACAACAGTTACTTACATTTTAAAAAGGGAAAGTATAATCTCTATAGATGTGAGTGGACTTCTGTGAGAGTGTTTTAAAAATATCAAATGTCCTCTCTGGGCATTTTTGTGAAAGTTGTAGAGACAACAAATGCCACAGGAACTATATCAGCATTTTTGTTACTGACACTTTGTTGTTAAATACGGAAAACATGTACACCATTAACAATTACATTATAAGAACGTATACAAAAGCTCTTGCTTGTATAAATCAACAGTGGTTAAACTGTCGGACATTCTGAGGACATTTAGCAGGTTGTGTCACCTTCAGGTAGGTTTTTGGAACCACTCCTCTGTTGCCTTCACTGTCCTGAGCCAGCCACCATCCATCTGCCGTCTTCCTGATAATCCTCAATACGTCCCCCCTCTTAAAAGAGCAACACAGTCATCCAATAAATTCAAAGATCCTTATTGTCATCAGGTTCAATGAAGCGATAGTTCTGCATCACTAACAAACAGACTTTTGTTTTTTTAACAGAAAGATTTTCACTATTTTCTTCTGTTGCATGATGCAAAGAAAAGCAGGAAAAGTCCTTCACCTGAACAGACAGATCTCCTTCCTCCTCTCCTTGGAAATCACTGAGGACTTTGTAGTTGCGAGAGTCTGACTGGGAGGGTGGTTTCACAGCTTGCTTCTCATCTTCATCCTCATCACTGTCATCATCATCATCATCATCATCATCATCACTATTACTCTCTTTGCCGTCGTCGTCATTATCACTTTCTTCCTTTGCAGTATAGCTGAGGACAAAAAGATGATGGCAAGAAAAGAGATTCTTCTACGACCATAGAAAATAAGCATGACAGATCAAATGCACTGATTGTGACAGGTTTTAACTGATGCTTTGAATGTGATGTTCATAAGAGAATAACAAAGAGAAATTGTATCAGATGTCAGACAACAATAAATAAACCCCATCAGATCTCTCTGTATTCTTTGCAGTGAGCACACAGGTCACTGACCCGGCAGCTGTGCTCGGTCCTGGTGGTGAAAGCTCCAGAGAGAGTATGTTCAGACGCTCCAGGATGTTCTGCAGCCGTGTCTCCTCTTCCTGTTTCCTTTGGTCGTAGTTTCCCACAGGAGCCAGCTCATCAGCCTAGAATCAAGTGAAGCAAAGAAAATATGACTTCAATTTAACCAGGTGAACAAAACTGAGCAATATACAATACAGTGAGTTTAACCTGATGTACTGGGACAACATTGTACAATCAGATATTAGTGAGGAATATCTTTCTTTCTTTGACAAAGGCATGTAGTTAGATTCTCAGTTTGAACTAAACCTGAACCTCAGTATGATTTAAATGTTGTCTCTGAGTTTTGATTTGTATCATGGATAGCCTCAAGTTTAAGGATATAAACAATTTGTATTTGTCATAAAATGGATTGCTGTCTATTTACTGTATGTAGGAGCCGAAATGAATAACTGTAAAAGTCTACTTGTTGCAAGTTACATAGACTTTGGCATATTTCAACAGTGCAGCACTAACCTTTGTGAGTTTCCTCAGCGTCCTCAGCGTCTTCTCTGACGACATCTGCAGTTCTTGACATCTTATCGAAATACACATAATTACAATCAAACCTCAAGGTTTCACATGAGAAAAAAAACAATCAACTAAATCCTAACAGGAGCTGATAGGCGTGTTGAGTGAGTGATTTTCCTTCACTGGGGTCAGGTCCTGGTCTAGACGAGAGTCATAGGAAACACTTCTCAGTCTCAAGCTGTTTACCTTCGAAATGCCTCTTCAGTGGATCCAACCTGACGCTGCACATCCTTCACCAGACTGTCCACCTGGCTCAGAAGTGTTGAGAGAGAAAACAAGAGCATATAAAAGACTGTTGACACCAATATGCAGCTGAGGTTGAACTGCACAGGCTGCTAACACTATAATATATAATGAAGTGCATATGCTTGATGACTTCCTGTTTCACTTCTATAAGCAAAAGCCTGCCTGGTTATTATCATCATCATTATTATTTCAGTGAGCATTGAAGCCCATTGAAGACGCTATGCTGCGAACCAGACTTCATTTAAAATCTGGTCTTTTAATGTTCCTCTCTCTTTAACTGGGATCTTCACTGAAGAAGTCATCGGGTACTTTACGTCTGCGTCTTCTACAAACTTCGGCTCACACGTTATCCACCAAAAAACCCAGGACTTGATCAAATTCATAACTTTGACCTTTGTTTACATCGCTCGCTGAAATGTACACGCGTGGACAAAGTAGCTCAAACGTAAAACCGTAAAGAGCATTTGCAATAAAATGCACAAACGAATAATCTACTCTACAGCTCAAACAACAGGATCGTTCACATTAATGTTGGTGGTATCAAGATGCTCATCATCCCTCTGTCAGCTGAATAGAGTTTAAACGTTCCCGCGAGAAATCCACGAACACGCGCCAGTCTTCGACAAACCTGCTTCTTGATGCCGTCCACTTCTCTCTGCACGAGCTGCAGAGGTCCTTTTCTTTTCGGAGGCATTTAATGGCCGAGTTTCTGAGACATAATCCATGTGTTAGCAAACCACTTAGCTAGCTGGCTAGCTGGCTAGCTGACGCTACACTTCCACTGGTCGCTAGGCAACCGAGTTCCTCTTGAAGGCTTGAACTAACCGGATATAAAACCCTCGTTTGTGTGACCTCGTCCAAATGATGAAAACATACATTATTTCTAAATGTGTCTCACTTTAGTTCGTGGTTTTATCTTTTAAATAAATTCACAAAGTTTTGTGTTTGGAATAAATCTGTACTTTCCTCTCGGTGCTAAGCTACTGCCACCTAGTGGACTGGAGGAGCTGCATTGAAACCTCTTTCTGCTGAAGCTGCGTCTTTTGTTGGGTTTATTTAATGGCTCTGTTTTCGTTATTCCTCATCGTATGCACATGAAATCAAGAAGTTGTGCACACGGAGTTAATGTCCGAGTAATAAAGACATGACTGGCCGCCACTGAGTTGCGTTTTTAGCTTTTAAGAGTTTGTTAATTTCTCAAGTATTATGATTGAAACATAGTCCTTTCATCAGCTGAGCCAGTTTTCCTTCATGCACAGCAAAGGATTCACTACAATCCTGTGTCCTTGCGCAAGAGCAACAAGAACTTCATCATGTGACATTCCGAGGTGAAAATAAAACTTGATTTGCTGAGTTCTCGCCGTGCTATGGTACAAATCTTATTGCTAATCTGTTTTCATAACTGCAAACATTATATAAGTGTCTGAGTTATAGAGGAACACCGTATGACTGCTGTGTGAATGTGAATTGTGAGAAACCCTTTGAGTTGTTGTGCAGAAACATGCTGCATAAATTAGAGCCTGACTGATATGGATCTTTGACATGAGGGATATTAGGGAGCGACAAAATTTGAATACTGATACGCACTTATACAAAAAAAAGCGAAAATGACTCCGTCCTTGTTTCTATTGTACTTTTGATAAAGATGGCTGCTGTTGTGACAGTTTAATTCACCTCCAGCCATCAGTAAAGTATCTATCAATCTATGAATCTCCATGATAAAGAAGTGTACTTGAGGCTTAATATTTTGAAGTTTAACCATAAACTTTGTTGATATAACTATGAATAAAAGCAAACATTTGTATGTGTTTGTGGTCCAAACAGGTGATGTGATGGTTTGAGAAAATAAAAAACTAGATCGTGTTTGTGGTGTTTGTACTTGACTCTTACACAGTGTGATCAGTGTTATCAGACTGTCACATGTACATCACGGACACTTGTGTAAGAACCTTCCTGTTGTCAAACCAATGACCTTCAGAGGTTTGCTTGTTGTGAAACGTGCTGCCTTCAGGCTCCCCTCGATGTATTCTCCCGAATAGTTTTAACGTCGCACATCTCTTTCCAATACATATTTTTAGTGATGTAACAATAAAAGAAGAATATTAATAATCACAATCAATCTGAAAGTCACTTGTCAACAACTGTTTTCTGCTAACCCTTACCCTACCCGGGGAAAATGCTAATGTTTCTGTTGGAGCTGGAACGCATCAATCGCTACCTTCCTCCGTCCACTTCCGCGTCCTACGTCACTCCCCTGTCATGGCTGCCCCCGTGGCTCTCATTCAGGGCTCCAGCAGAGGACTGGGGCTGGAGTTCTGCAGACACATCCTGAGAAGCAAAACTCCCGCTGCCGTCATAGCGACATGTCGGGACCCGGACGGGGCGGCCGAGCTGCGGGGCCTGGCCGGTCAACACCCGGGCAGGCTCACGGTCCTCCGGCTGGACGTGAGCCGGGAGGAGGACATCCGAGGAGCCGCGCAGCGGGTTAAGGAGAGCTTCGGTCGGCTGGACCTGATCGTCAACTCGTCGGCGATGCTTCATCCCTCCGGGAAAGGAGAGACCAGCCTGAGAGATGTCTCTGCTGAGGTAAAACAAACCCTTTTCTGGGTGTTTGAGCCAGAATCCTCGCCGTGAGAATAAAAGTGCTTTCAAGTGAGATATCTTATATCAGACATAATGTTCCTTAAAATATATTTAAAACAAGTTCAGTCAAAACTGTTTGAACACCGGGAAGCTACAACTGGATTTGTGACTCAAAATTTGAGATACGTTTCATCTCGGTAAAATATTTCAACTTTACTCTCTTCATAAGTTAAAAGTACTCAGCCATAATTATTTAAATGAGTCCTCCAGAAAAATCTAGATGTTTTAAAAAAAAAATGAAATCAAGTGCCCACATGTTGATAGATGCTCTCAAAAGAAACTCGATGAACCACTGATCTGTGCTGACTTAATCTATTTCCCTTTGCAGGGCATCATTTCCACCCTGACGACAAACACAGTGGGTCCTCTGGTGATGGCTAAGTACTTCGCCCCCCTCCTTCAGAAGGGTGGAGGAGGTTTTGGTCAACAGCCCGCAGAGAAAGCCAAACAGCACAGTGGCATCATCGTCAACATCACGGCCAAAGTGGGATCCATTGGGGACAACGGTACAGCGGCGAATGCAAATGTTTTAAAACATCAACCTGCAGCAACAAGGCTACAATACAGAAAGGAGAAGTGAAGAGAAATCAGAATATAAGTTGCTGTCTTAAAACTTGGTAGTGAAAACAGAAGAGAATATATGAATATAATGCTGCAGTGGTCTTCCAGTCTAACTTCTCTTCACTCCACCTTCTTCTTTCAGGTCTTGGGGGTTGGTACAGCTACAGAATGTCTAAAGCAGCTCTCAACATGGCCACAAGAAATCTGTCTATAGAGCTGGGCCGCAGTCGACCCAAGGTAGGTCTTAGTGCATTTAATTTCATAAATACAAAAGGCAAAAGACACAGTGGAGACTATTCTTCAAGACCAGCAGGGAAAACATGTTTGGAAATGGATGTACAGTATCATGCCCTGACTGGAACTTCTGGAACTTTTCCTGCCAGTCCACAAGTAAAATGTCAGAGTGACCTCGTGTGAGAATGCAAGAGAAAGCTGATGGACTTGTTTCTGATTTTTCCAGGTGGTGTGTGTGTCCTTACATCCAGGAACAGTGAGCACAGACCTCTCCCGACCGTATCACAGGAATGTGCCAAAAGACAAGTTGTTCAGCACTGAACACTCTGTGAACTGTCTGATGAGCATCATCGAGGCACTGAACATGGAAAAGACTGGCAAAGCTTACAACTGGGACGGAACCGAACTTCCCTGGTAGAAGTTCAGATAAATGGACAGAGAGATAATTTATTCACCTCTTATGTTGATGCTAATACTCTCAGCTCCGTTTGGATTGTGCACTGACAAATCATCAGAAATTAAGATAATGAGGTCTCTGGTGGAGTCACAGTCTAAACAGTTTTACCTCTTCCACTACCTCACATCCAGCCAAAGTGCTTTGATCACCTGTGACCCACACAAAGGCCTTATGCTACTGTAGGTGCCCACACTGATGATCTAATGTCTAATGGATGGGACTCATATTTATTATCATACTAACCTTAACGGGTCTTTTTTGCAGTATTACTTAATATCACCAAATGATTTATGATAAAGAAATACTTTAGAGTTGTGCTTATTCACTTTCAGGGTTAGCTTAGCACAAAGACTGGGAAACACTATCCTGGATTTGTCCAAAGGTAGAAAAACAAATCTACCTACCAGTAACTCCAAAGTGCAGAAAGTAACCTGTTGTTTTCCATCATGTTAGTCTGCAGTAAAAACACAACTGTTGTGGTTTTACATGATTGATCTTCTCATCTCTATCCAACAATTAAAGAAATAAAAGCATCTTCCCCAAAATGTGGAACTTCTTTAAGTGATTACTGAAAAAGGTTTGAGCCCGTCCTTGTTGACTTTCATGGATTATTTTTGAATAAAATCCAGTTTTGTCTTTGCACTCCACATGAATTATCAGTTGCAATGAGGGGTTAACACTTCACTAGCTTTTAAGTGTGATACATTCTCAGCAACAACACTCAGGATAAAGAGTAAAAGGATAAATGTCTGTATTCATCCATCCTCGTAATCAGGTGCTTAGTCTATGACTAATTCACTGAACTCTATCCTGGTAACGGATTTTAACACATGACCTGATACTTACGAGTGGAGGTTACCAGGAAAAATCATTTAAGATGAAAACCCCCTCATATTTCCTCTTAGTCAGTGGACAGAAATTACTCTTACTACATGATTAACTACTTTTAACCAGAAGGTGGCAGCATTTGGGGACTTTTGCTTTTTGTGGCCCACAACCTTAATATTTTTGTCTTTATCTTATGTGAGTTAGAGACACGATGTATATCAAAGTCTCTGTTTATATATAAAGTAGTGTGGTCATGATCTTTACAGTCGACTCCCAGTTCTTGATTGTTGGATAAAGTGGTAACTGTGAGTGAGATTAAATCTGCACTGCTCCACATCTAACTTAACATTTTATGGTGAGGTTGTTACATGATGGTGCAGTTTTTCTTTATCTTTATTGGATTTCTTATGATTTTACATAACCACTCAGTGAATTGCAGTTGTGACTGTGTTACGTTGTTACACTATGATTATATGATTGCATTATGGTTATGTCTGTTTTATATGTGTCATGTGACAGCATTTCCAGTCTTTGAAAGTCCGTCTGCATTGTTTTTACTCACAGCTCTCTGATCAGTTTTGTTGACACATTAATTAGAATAATATCAAGTATCACTATTATAGTTCAACATATCTCTAGATACCTGTGTGGCTTTTGAAAACTGAAATTTAGGCCAAAAAAGACAGAAAAATCCCCAATATATTTCTATAATGTACTTTTACTGAGTTACTCTTCTTAAGTGCATTTTTTTAAATGTATTTCTACTTTACTTTTGAGTACATTTCACATACACATACTCCTCTACATACAGTATATCAACAGATATCTGAACACATTTTTTACAATACATTGAGTTACACCTAAGGAGAATTTGGAAGAGGCTGAGACATTAATTCTCTTTACAATTCACGATTGTTATATTATATTAATCAAAATACACAGTTGGCACCGTAAATTATGTAATAGCCCAATGCATCTGCAAATACTTGTACTCAAATAGATCGGTTAATGCGGTACTTTTTCTTTGGTACATTTTTATATATGCATTACTACTTGTTCCTACACCACCGGTGAATCCTGGTTCAACCTCTCCTAGTGATTGTTTTCCTTTATCACGCTGAGATTGTGGTTGTTCGACCTTTGCAGCTCGGGCTGTTCTCGCCTGAACCTCAGTGTGCCTCTTCCTGGGAAACAAACTATAGTTTCTTAGCTGTGTTGTTGCATTTAATGGCCCCACATGCTCAGACCTGTTGACGGTGACATCACACAGACACAGGACGGCAAAACACATGTCATCAGTAGATTAATTTGCATTAGTGGTTGTGCTTTTCCGCGCAACAACCGGGTCACGACAGAGTTATATTGTGTCTGACATGTTGGCGGCTCTGTGCGCACACGACTGCGGGGAGTGAGGATGTCAGCGAGCAGGGGACGCGGTTAAATAAAGCGCACACAGCTGCACGGACTGGTGCCTTTTGTGTGCGTGCATGTATGTGCATGACTGTGATTTGGACCGTGAGCTGCAGGCGACACAGTTCGAGTCCCACCTCTTTGTATTTGAGTGAAGCAATAGTGTGTGATGCTCCTGCAGCGCGGAGAGAAAACCGGTCGGAGGTGAACAGGTTTGGGCCTCGGTTGGAGGAGCTAGTGTGACGTAGCAGTGCGCACACACAAACACAAACACATAAACACACACACACACACAGACACACACACCGGCTGCTGCTGCTGCGCCTGCCAGGATCTCAATGTGGGGAAATGACCGCGAGTGACCTCAAAGGAAACCTTGTATTTTAGCGCCGCTGGGTGTTTTTTTATTTTACACAACATTTAAACAATAATGTGTGCCACAGTTTAGCTCGACATTTTCCGGTAAACACCCACGTTACATCCCGGGAACGAGTGCGGTGTCTCGTTGGCTGCACGCCCGGCTGTCTCGCTAGCTTGCGAGCGGCTAACATCAGCTAAGCTAAGCTAACGCAGCAGCACCACCACCACCACCCCCAGCTTGTCACTGGCTGCGGCGGGGCTTCGACGGTTTTTTCTCCCGCAGATGCTAAGCTAAGCTAGGCGAGGCTAGGAGCTGCTGCCATGGATAAAGCGAAGTCAATGGTGGACAAGAAAGGAGCGTCGGGACCCTTTTATGTCAACAACGGGCAGAGCCAGAGGGGGTGTAACGGCCACGTCGCTGTGTCCGCGAACGGCGGCTGCTGCAGCGGCGGCGGGTTCGGCTCGAGCCCCGGACCCAACAACAGCAGCGGCGGCGGCGGCGGCGGCAGCAGCTCGTTTGACAGCATGCATCACCTGCACCACGGCGAGGATGCGGACTGCAACGGCTCCCCGGCTAAGAGGTCCAGGCTGCGGCGGAGGACGGAGTCGGTGAGACGGAACAGACCCCGTAAGTGTCAGCCAGCCCGGGGATGATGATGATGATGGTGGTGGTGGTGGTGGTGGGTGGTTTAGTAAGAGCTTTTATTGGAAATGTGCTCATCGTGTGACATGATGTCCCTGTGGAGTGATGCATGAAACCGAGTGAAACCGTGCAATCAGCGGGTTTTTTTTTTTTTTTTGCACAACAAGCCGATGTCTTGTTGCAACCAGGCACCGACGACCAGCCCCTCACACCCGGAGAGCGGCTCTCGTGTTCCTGCACCTTTTTCTACCCGCAGCCCTCGTGACTCTGTGACCAATCGATCACGATCGATACTCATGATCACATTGGGTATTATGGGTTATCGCCGTCGCTAGGGAGACCCCCCCCCCCCATCCCCCCTCCTCTTTTTGTTTCTAGGCACCCTCAGGTTGCATGTGCTGCTCTGTGATTGGTCGGTTCCCCGGTGGTGAAAAAGCTCCTGATAAGTGGGCCTGGCTTCCCTCAGCCAATCAGCGGCCGCCTCCTGTCTTCAGAAGGCAAGGTGAAAGTGCCGGGACCCCGCCCCCTTATTTACTGGTATTTCGGATGATGCGAGTAAAGATCATTCTGAAAACTTGTTCCACTGCAGGATGGAGACAACTGAGATTTCCTTCGCATGAAGTCTGAGACAGATCCATCTCTCCTCCTTACGAGTTCTTTATCGTCTTTCTTTTTTTTTTTTTTTTTAAAGTATTTGTTCTTTTGTGTGTCAGTGACCCAATATTTTTGCCTCACCATGAAGCTTATAAGTGAAAAGAAGCCTGGTAAGTGTGAGATGATTTATGCTTCGTTGCACACGGGTATCAAAACTCATAACTCTAAATCACTTCTTTTTTTTTCTTCATGTTTTCTTTAAAATTCGATTTTAGGCTCTGAAATCAAATCCGTGTCTCTTATTCTCCCACGTCTGTTATCTTCACAGATTAACGCTTCATCAGACTGACTGTGATTGTGCGTACACAGATTTCAGTGTACTAGTATGTGCTTTTTACAGAACACTGGTTGTTTTTCATCTCCAAGAATTAACCAAACTTACTCACAGCTCCTCTTTCAGTCAAAGCCGCAGGATTTGTTATGCCTGTGTGGCTGTCATGGTAGAACATACATCTCCTGCAGGCGTTTAAAGGGATACCAGCTGCAAGTTAGCTTTTTCTTTTATTTATCTGTCTGTAATTGTGTTTTGGGGTGAGATGGTGCTGCCTTCGGTTTTGGTTTCAGATTTCCAGAAAATGGTGATGACTGTCATCACTGTCACTGACGGTCATTGTTATCGCCTGTAGTCTTGTTTTCTAATCTTGTAATGACAGAGTAGTTATTGTTTGAGATTAATTGGTTTAATTTAATTTAAAAAAGTTCAGTTTCTATGTTAATCTCTCACAGCAAGAGTTGAGATGGGATTAGCTTCAATTTGACCTTTTACTCTATGATTCTGGTATCTGGACATCTCTACATATTACTTACAGTATTCAGAAGCACTTAACTACATCATGTTGCAGTTAATCGCATATTTTATGTGTCTACAAGGTTTTATAATATAAATTGTGTTTTTCTAGATGGACTAGAGTTTTTATCTTGTATCATGCACTGTGGTTCTGGTTATACCTGTGTGAGACCAGTTGATAACATCTTCAGCTTGCAGTCATGCTTTAATTTGTGTTGACTTTTGTAAATAAAGTGACTAGCACATTAGTTCTCTTTTCCAGTTATGTGGCGATATATACTTTGCTTCATCTCCGCTGTTGTTCAAGCACAAGTGTTGTTTCTCTTCTTGATTACCTCAAAGATTAATCCATAGAAATTTGTATCACAACATTAAAATATGTCCTCCACAGCGCAAATGCATCCAGTGTTAATTTAAGCACAGACCTTCTCCTTTCAATTGAATATGAAGTGTGTAGTTAGAGAATCACCACGTGAATGAAAATGAACAGGAACTTGTTGTGATGGTGGTCTGGATTCTGTGTCTGTATTTGTAAGATGCACTGCAATATTTCCTCTGATCTTGCATCATACGGTCCTGTGATTATTGATCATCAAATGACTGGCAAATTGAGATGTTACACTTAACTGTCAGCAACACTGTGCAGTGAGACGTGGCTGTGGTTTGTTGTGATGTGTAGTTCTCTAGAGTAAGAGGGACCCTGAACCAGAGCGAGTACAGGTATTACATAAGTAAGGAACATCTCATGAGTAAACTTTGAAATGTCCGGTCAGAGATTCTGTGTTTTATGGCTATCCTTGGATGGAGGCCAGCCGTCCCGATAAACCCAGATAACCCTCTAAGCTTTTCCTCACAGAGGGCCAATCCTGGAATGTATTCCCCTCGGGATGTGATTTTTTCACTTTTGTCCTTTCTTTGAGGGGGGTTTAGAATTTGGGGGTGTTATTCTTTTATTTTCTGTATCACTGCCAGTAGTTCCTCTTGTTTACACCGTGAAGCATCGTTTCACCGGAACAGAATTGCCTTTATTTTAATTTCAGCAGACCTAATTATCAGGCCTCATCGCTCCTGTGACAGAGATGAGGTGTCTTTTTCATACACATGGGTTAGGATTACACATTTGTGTACAAGGAAATTTAGGGAAGTCCACAGCAGTGTTTCAACACAGAGCAAAAACAGGAATAGGAATAATGGTGACAAAAGTTGTGAAATCCCACCAGCAATTACCGTTTCTAAATTTTGGTTCAATGTGTTGATGTTGTGTATTAAATGAACTGAGCTTATTGTTTACCGAAGTGCACTTTATTTTATGCACAGTACAAGTTGTGAGTAAGCGTGTTTGTAAAACAATATCATACTTTAGTTTGATTGAAAATGGATAGTGGACATTTTGGCTTATATTCTTTGAGTCATATTTGTATGTTTTGTTAAATTCCTTCCATCAGCGCAGGAAGCGCTCTAGGTTTGATGTGTTAGAGGTTGAAGCCAAAGTTATGATTCACATATGTAATCTCTAAGAAGAAGGATTGTGCTCTCATTTAGTGGTTTTTGACATTGTGTACATACACCGAGGTGCCATGTTGCTTTTGGTGCGTGACCTTACCTTACCTTACTACACGTGATCTAATGGGTGTAGTCCATAGCAGCAGAGAAGGTGGTTGAGTTATCAAAGAGAGTTTTCCATTCTTGGCCTCAGGGAGGAATGATAACAGTGGAAGAAAGTGAGAGAACCAGCTTCATTTACATTGTGTCTGTAAGTTTTTGTGTCCTGAACAAACACTAAAGACTCTTGTCTCCATTTTGCTTTGAAGGAGGTGTGTTGCACATTCCATCTCTTGTTTTGACAGTATTAATAGAGTTATGTATGTTATGTATGTATGTATATTAGGTGTGTATGTTATTTTGGTGACAGAATAATTGGTCAGTCTGTTACAGGTAGATCCTGAACATGGCACACTAACAAGTTTCAGTGTGGGCGATTCAGGGAGCAAACGAGGGTATTTGAGTTCATGTAAATCAAGATGAGTAGAACGTCTTGATTTGTGTCACACCCGGAAACCAACCCAGGCTCCTTCTTGTGTGCACACACCCACATGAGCCCTTTATCAATCCTAAAGGGAAATTACAGGGTACATAACAAACAATGAAAGACTAAATTATATAACATAACTAGACAGATTCTATTAAATAAAGAGGAACATAAACACCAATGTGGATTTGTGATTCATACATATTAAGGGTTTCTTACGCAAATCTAATTGATTATATCAATTAATCAGAATTTTATGTCCCATAAGTCCTATAAATGCATTCAAATATTGCGGAGTAGGCCTTAAATAAGTTGAGGTTTATTTGTCCCTTCCAAGACAAATGTTTTAGGCACATTCATAGTTTGTAATGTCCATGTATTGTAGTTCTTTCTCAATGATACAGATATTACCATACTGTACTAAAATTACAAACAAGACACACATGGATCTGATAACATTCCGGTAAGTACTCTGAAGACTGTGGATACGTACTGTCTCTGCTTGTAGCTTGAGAGATAATGTGGCATTTGGCTGGTTATTCTCTACAAGGCTACTTCACGTTATCTTCAATTATAGGGACGAGTAATTAATTCCTGGACTCTGATATTCCTTCTTATATGTTGATTTTGACATAGGTCTTAAATTTAAGTCATCGTGATCTTAAAAAGTCTTGAATTTAACATGTTGAACCCGGCAGCGACCTCATAAAGGTGCATAGTTCTAGTGCTAGTAGCAGTACTGCAGTAGTAGTAGAAGTAGTTGTAGAGTATGACTAGTTGGACAATGAGTGGAAGGACCGGTAGCTTATGGCTTCAGCTAATGTTTATATAGTGACTCATTTGCTCTATGAAATGTCAAAACGGTGAAAAGATTTCCACACTGGTATATTCAAATGTGGTGCTTTACTACATTGACTATTTAAAACACATCAAATCTGAAGCTGGAACAAGTATTTCATCAATTGATGGTCAGAAACTCCATTGGCGTCATTGTAAATTAAACATCTTTGGATTTTCTACTGTTTTTTTAGGGGATGTATAGACCGTTCATTAGGAAACTCACTAATCAATAATGAAAATAATTGCCTAATTTATTTTACTATAACATCGAACAGAAAGTAGCAAATTGAACCTGGGACAGTGGGATAAGTATTTTATGCAGTTGCTGCTGTTAGATGGCAAATTTCCTCATAGTGGGAATTAATCTACTGTATCTCATTGACTTGGCCTAAAGATATCACTGCAGTGATTAATGGAAATAATAATAAGTTCACTTTCTCCCTGGTAAGTAATCATTAAATGATATCAGCTTTACTGTAGTAACTATGGGACTAAAATACAGATTCAAAAAGGCTGTAGTGTTGTGAGAACCTTAGGGATGAAAGACTGAATCTGGGAAGAGAGTAACAGCCCCAAGCCTCCAGTGATGTTTTCCTCTCTCTCTCTCTCTCTCTATATATATATATATATATATATATRTATATATATATATAYACACACACACACACACACACACACACACACACCTTATCATACAAACATGTTGTACAAGTTCTTGTCCTGTGCTCTCTGCCAAACACGCCCACACCAATCCTCTCTGTGAAACCTGAGATTAAAGGTTAAGCAGGAGGAAATTTAATAGAAATAGTTGTTGCTGATAATCCTGAGTTTGTGTGTGAAAGCTGAACAGTGAGCGTTTATTTAGAAATGAATCCCTTTACTTCTATTGTAATTCAAGTCAAACTGTAGGTGCTGACAGACTCTAACATAAAGTGTGTGAGGCCATGAGACCATTGCATCTACAAGGACACAGATCACTTGTTGCTCCGACTGCTCTTTGTCACACTGACCTTTGACCTGACACTGTGTGTTAGTGCGTGTCCGTCCGTGTGTATATGTTTGTGCTTTTTAAATGGAAACCCTGGATAAGTGGGCACCTATTGATCTATAGGACACACGCATAAAAACAGCTAATTTGATTTTGTTAAAAATGTCCTTTTCATTTTTCCTCAGTGATGCTTTATTGTTGGTTGTCAACACATACCGGCTGGGGGGAGGGGGGGTAAATACCCAGGTCAAGGAAATGCTGACAGGAATTACAAGACAGGGCACTTTGTTTTAGTTTCTCCAGCTTTTTATGAAAAAATTTGTTTATTCAGCCACAAGAATGAAAGAAAGAATGTTAAGTCTTTTGAGTCAGTGTGTTCATGCATCACGGTAAGCAGCTGGAATGGAAGCTGTGATGTTTCTATGATCATGTATTTATTACGTCGTCACTGTTTCCAGTGCATACAGAAAAGGCTCATGGGAGAAATGCATTCAATAAATGTGAAGTAGTATCATGATGTCAGAAAGTGACAATGAACTCATTCAAAGGAAACCCTTTGCTGTTTACTATCAGTGAATTTATATCAGATGACAAAGCCGGCTGTTGTTCTTTGCTGGTTTCAAGTATCTAAATCAAAATATCATATTTTTGAATAATGAAAAAAAATCCAGCAATTATACCATGACGTATAATTTCACTTTTTATGCACATGAGTTTGCACGATACAATTTTGCCTTGCACTCAATGGAGTTTAAACTTCTGTTATCTGAAACAACAAGCACTCATTGACACAATAAGGAAATTAGTCTGGCTGTAGATTAACTTTTGTTCTCACAAAACCTAACGATGCCTCTTCACCTAAATTGTGCTGAACTTAGTCAAAGACACATTTCAAAGGGTTTAAAGTTAATTACTTTGTGGGTAAAATAAGAACCGTGACTTATTATAATATTTGAGTGGTCGGAAAATGTGATTGTCACATGACACAGAAGCCGCCATGTCTCTTGGTTTCTTGCAGTGTTGCTTTTACCTTATTTGAAAATCTAGAACCATTTCATGGCTTAGTTTGAGCATTTGTTTTAAATCTTTACGTCTTGAGGGATGAAGCACTGTACAGGCTTTGTCATAAATTAATAAAGAGAGAGAAAGAGCAAAGAAAATAATAATTATCTTACTCCCTGTTTGTCAAATAGGGGCTTTCAGTGAAGTCTAACATCAAAGTCACAAATGCTAAAGATAGAATCAGATACGTTATTGACACTATCCAAAATTAGGCAATTTAACTTAACAGAGCAGAATCCTTTTAGGTTGTGTTGACAGACATCCGAGCAGGTCAGTGGGTGACAGGGGACGATGAGAAAGTGTCAACCAAACAGTAAAGGGGGACAGAGTTGACTCCTGCTGAAGGTAACCGGACACCAGCAGCAGGATGGAGGTGAAGGAGCAGGTAACAGGAGCAGCAGTGATGGTGCTGGTGATACTAGTCCCTCACATGGACTCAGTAACTACTGAGTACAAGAGGTTTCAGTGGTCAGGTGTCCGTCATTTAACACGGGTCAGTACAACACCATCTCAGACTGACAGAAAACAATCTGAGCAACATCTCAGGTTCCATTTATAAGAGGAGTAATGAAGTCGGTTTATCATGTCGTCAGGTTTAATTTAAATTACAATGTTAACTAGAGCCAGGCCGATGGTTACCATGGTTTTTCTATATGACTCAGTTTTAGGAGCGTGGTTTTGCAGTGTCTTGCAAAGTGGGCCGGCCAATCATCGTGCACAAAATAGTTTCATTAAATGCATTCTTTTGTTGAATGCTGCCGTTTTCCTCAACCATAGTGACCATGTGTTGTCTTAAACAGTTGCACAGGGTTTTCATTGTTCTGAGTTGTAGACTCTGATTGGTCAAAATGAAACTGCCTGATCCCAACGTGACCTCTTGTTTGTTTTGTCCACAACTTGACAATGTGAATTTTTACGTCCGTAAAACAGACAAAGTCCAAGTCGTCACAATGGAGGAAATGGAACTAGTCAATGTTTGTTATAATTGCTTTTAAAACTGACGATCTAAATGATCATTAAACTACACTGGCAGTTGACTAATTGATTAAGTGGAAAATCCTTTCAGCTTTAATTATCAAGGAAATAAAGCCTGTCAGAAAGGCTGATGTGCCTCTAAGTTAAATAAAGCTGTTGCTTTGTGGTGCATTAAAAAACGTCTTGCAGCATCTGTCCTTTTCCGTCCATGCCAGTAAATCTGACTTGAATTTAATTAAATTGATTCGGAGACAAGAAGCGGGCAAGAGATGGAGAGAGAGGAGCAGGAGTGAAGGAGTAAGGGGGAGAAAAGAGGAAATGGAAGGAGAAAAAATAGTTGAAAAAAAAAAAAAGGAAGAAACCAGACGAGAGAGAGGGATGCAGTTGTAGACAGAGAAAGAGGGAGATAGAGATTGATTGTGAATGAGAACGGAGAGAAAGGATTAATGAGAGAGAGAGAATATGAGGCTGACGAGTGTGTCAGACACACAGAGCGGAGGAGACGATGGGGGGGAGAGGGGTTGTCTGTTGCCATGGAAACTGCGGCTCTTGTTGAGTGGTGGTGGATTTCTTTTTCCTTCTTCTTCCTCTTCTGAACTCAATGTTCTACCAAACTAAACCGTCCAGACCTGGTTCTCCTCTCCCTGTTTTTATCAACTGAAACATTCATCTGCAACCATTCATTGGTTAAATCTCCTCAAACATAGGATCTGCTGCTTTTGTTTTCATTTGACGAATCAATTCATTGATCAGTTGTACGGGCAATAAAATATCAGAAAATTGATAAACTTCCCTAACTTCCATTTATTTCTGTTGATTACCAAATTGATTGGGTAATTTTGCAGCTCCACACTTTCTGTTTCTCTTCCTCTCCTTCCTGTTCTTCTCTTTCTCCTCTTAAACATCATTATTTTTTATGTTGACAAAGTATTTTGAAGGCATCACCAATTGGGTGAACAGCTTGTTTTTAAATAACTGAAATAAATTAATCAGCACATTCATTTATAATATGTATTCGATCTGTTTTACTCACATTTGTCTATTTCAAAGTTCTTGTAAAATCTGTCAGTTCCAGGATATGTTGCTGTAATTTTTACCCCTAAGTGCTTATTTTTGTGGCCCTGCGGTTCACAGCCGTCCATTAATGGGCTTTTATTCGCTATGACATACCAGATAGTGTGTTTCCGTTGGCCATTACCGTAATGGATTCTGTTTAATCAAAGCTACACAAAACATGGAGTCTGGGTTGAAGTCAGATTTAAATGTATTTATTTTGCAAGTAAATATTCAGCATATTCAAGATGTTGGTTATTTTACGTCTCTAAAATCTTGAGTTTTGTCATTTTGCTCTGTTTTACGTCTTGTTTTCAAAAGCAAACAGTTGTTCACATATCTGTCTTCATCCTCCTCTCCAGCCTTCCCCTGGTTCGGAATGGACATCGGTGGCACCCTGGTGAAGTTGGTGTACTTTGAGCCAGTCGACATCACTGCGGAGGAAGAACAGGAAGAAGTGGAAAACCTCAAGTCCATCCGCCGCTACCTCACCTCAAATGTGGCTTATGGTAAGTCTACACACACACACACACACACACA